TGTGAGGTGTCTGCAGCAATTAAAACATTCGTGGTCTATAACTATAATATATGGTCTAGGCCTATATAGACTAACTTAAGTGAAAGTGTTCGTAGAATAGTAAAACATTATCTTCTAAATGCTATACGCTGACTATTTAGTTCTAAATCCCGATACATAATATCTGGATGTTGAGACGAATGGGGGATGCTGTTTACACTGACCCATACGATAGAGCAATAGAGCTGCCATATTGCTCTACTTTAGATTTCGCTTTCCCACAATTCATCAAACCATGTTGTATTACAAATACTATGGAAGACCGATCAGCTCAAAATCCAATGTTCCCGCTTTGTCGTTCTTATAACAACTTTTCATAGCGAATTCCACAACAGTAAATTCTTACAGACCATTGTGAATTAGAAATGTTAACAAACATTATGCGATTTCGATACATTTATTGTATTTATGAAGACTGTTTACATAATTATTTGCAAGACTAAAATCAACCCCTTAAAATAGCACTTCTGTCCCTTTAAACATCACCAGCATGACGTTATGGGCACTGTTAACTGTTTCAAAATAAGAAACCAACTTTATATGACATCTCGGAAGTTGATCCTGATTTTGGTCTTGATACTATTAATGCTTATGTTCAGTTTAGCCGCAAATGAAAATTAATAAATTGAAATTAGAGATTACCAATTAGAAAATAACAATTAGGAAATACTAACGAAGGATTTTGAGCTAATAGGTCTTCCATAACAATGAAGACGAACAAAAGGAACTAAATTGTTATCTAATCTTAATTATTGCCTCTTGTCCTAAATTTGTTAGCTCTTATCTCGTAGATATGTGTGACGGTTATCGGTTGGCTTAAAGTCATAAACATAAGACTCGGTTAATTGGAGACAGTTCGCATCATCAGAGGTGCGAAGTTACAAACCAACGATCAAACGTTAGTAGAGTCAGCGATTTGTCGTAGTTGGGCAAACATTAACAGTAGCTCATCACTGTGTTCCTTTGTAGGTAAGTCTGATTTATCAACCCCCCGCGTGAAACCATGGGCTCCAGAGTTTTTATTTGAATAGATGGATCATAGTAGATGTAGGGAATGAATGTGGATCTTTATATCATTAAGGAAAAAATAATCGTTGCTTTTTCAGAGGACAAAACCCACATGACCTGCTTCTCTGGGTCATTTGTCTTGTCACAGGATGATAACAATAACGATAACAATAACAAGATCCAATTTCATTCCTTAAATATTATACAATATGGGAGTTACTAACACTTTCATCTCATTTAGTTAGCCTACGTACGCTATATGATACGCACACTTTCATTTCTAATAGTATGTACGCTACATTATACGAACACTTTCATTTCTAATAGTATGTACGCTGACACACACACTTCAGTTATAACGATATGTACGCTATATGACACGCACATATGACACTTTCTTTTCTAATAGTATGTACGCTATATGACATGTGTTTCATTTCTAATAGATGTACGCTATATTATACGTACACTTTCATATATAACATGTTCGCTATATAACACGCACACTTTCATTTCTAATAGTATGTACGCTATATGACATGTGTTTCATTTCTAATAGATGTACGCTATATTATACGTACACTTTCATATATAACATGTTCGCTATATGACACACACACTTTCATTCCTAATAGTATGCACGCTATATGACACACACACTTTCATTTCTAATAGTATGTACGCTATATTGTACCCACACTTTCATTTATAATAGTATGTACGCTATATTGTACCCACACTTTCATTTATAATAGTATGTACGCTATATGATACGAACACTTTCATTTCTAATAGTAGGTACGCTATATTATACGCACACTTTCATTTCTAATAGTATGTACACTATATTATACTCACACTTTCATTTCTAATAGCATGTACGCTATATAATACTCACACTTTTATTTCTAATAGTATGTACGCTATATGATACGAACACTTTCATTTCTAATAGTATGTACGCTATATTATACGCACACTTTCATTTCTAATAGTATGTACACTATATTATACTCACACTTTCATTTCTAATAGTATGTACGCTATATAATACTCACACTTTTATTTCTAATAGTATGTACGCTATATTATACGCGCACTTTCATTTCTAATAGTATGTACGCTATATGATACGAACACTTTCATTTCTAATAGTATGTACGCTATATGATACGCACACTTTAATTTCTAATAGTAGGTACGCTATATTATACACTAACTTTCATTTCTAATAGTATACATGTACGCTATATTATACGTACACTTTCATTTCTAATAGTATATACACTATATTATACGTACACTTTCATTACTAACAGTATGTAATATATCATACGTACACTTTCATTTCTGATAGTATGTACGCTAAATTACACGTACAGTTCCTTTCCAGTGGCTGCCATATTCATAATCACAAAGTATCCTCTGCCGATACAAAAAGAACTTGTATACACCCTAGTTAAATTTGAATAATGAATATTTCAGTTATAGGTATATATTCATAATCACAACCTATCATAATTTTATTCAGAATGGCCTTAGTGAAGATACCAGACTCAAGTGGTAATACAGTGGTTGTTAGGAAGTTAAAAGATGGTAGATTGATGCCCAAATTTGATCCAGAGGTTTTAGAAAATGTGAAAAGTTTGAAGTTGAGAGAAGATGACGTCATCATTTTGGCTTACCCGAAATCAGGTAGAAATTTCAATCTTGGAAAAGACTCTTATAATATACAATTGTCAAATTATTATTCGCTTAAACAACCGAAAGAGTTCAAAATCAGTACCCAAGCTGCACACCTTCACATGTATTACCGATGTTATGACCCTGGAATAATTTATTTGATCGTAGACGAATCCTACAAAGGGTCCTGATTCCGCAAAATGATACGGATAGCTGTACACTTATATTGAATTTATATACGTCGCGGAGGGTTCTAGCAAGTTATTTTTTCTGAAATATATGCTTGACGAACCTCAGTGGCCTTTTGGTTTTTATTTTAGGAACTCACTGGTTATTCGAGATTGCCCAGATGCTCAAATTGGGAACAACAGATGTGCCTGTTGTTTCAAAAAGTGACTTTATGATTGAATATGTGAAACAAGATATACTGGATGCCAAACCATTGCCTAGAATTCTAAACACCCATTATAGATTTCACGATCTACCTACAGATATACACACCAAAAAGCCCAAAATCCTTTACATAAGAAGAAATCCCAAAGATGCATCTGTTTCGTTTTACAACCATACCATCAAATTGTCCAAATATTATGAATATTCAGGACAATTTTCAGATTATCTGAGGTTATGGGTGGAAGGAGGTACGTTTTCTTGCATATTCATGCTTGTAAGTCAACTCTCGCAAGCACTTTGCATAGGCACCAGACCCCCCATACATCTAACCGCAAAGCAGACGGCAATCCAATTCGCTACCGACACACTGCCACTGCCACTGCCACTGCCACAAAAGCCAATGTTCTAAACCAGAGGTTGGATTGTATACACACAGTGGTGATCGGTAGCAGAGAGAGGAGGGCATGATAGAACTCTTGACTTCCCTGGCTTCGCCCCCGGCCCCGCCCTATTCCATCTTAACTTTCTTATAGTTGAGTTCTTAAATAGCGCTATGAGCTCCCAGCGAACAGTCCCTCATTTAAGATATTAAATCATGACCTCATGCTAATTATCTCCCCTACAGCAGAACGTAACATTTCGTTTCATTGTATCTGATCTTTTCAGTGGACTATGGTTCGTGGTTTGATTATGTTAAAGAATATGAAGAAGTTTGTCAAAATTCAGATCTAGATATATTATCTTTAGAATATGAACAATTAAAGAAGGTATACGAAATTCGAAATCATTATACAATTTCGACTTCTATACAAGCTTATTAGAAGAGATTTTCCTAGATAAATACGGAGAGACAAATTGGAAAAAATATCCACTTATCAATGGACAGATCGATTGTTTATCGTCACGGCTTTAGACTTATAAAGTGGCTCGTTTTCACTCAATTGTAGAAAAAGAAGACGTGGTATTTTTATTTTAAAGCCCTTGATTATGATATGGGCGTTTAGAGATTATATATGAATTGCCTCCATTTATATCATGTTGTATCTAATCACACTTTCTTTCAGGACCTGATCAATGAAGTACGAAAAATCAGCGATTTTTTAGAATTAGAGAGAAATGAAGAACTAATAAAGGATATAAGTGAACGATGTACTTTTTCAAGCATGCATAGTCGAAAAGGGCACCTAACAGGCTTAGCAGACGGACAATCTATAATGTACAGAAAAGGTAATGATCTAACAATCTATAATTCATAGAAAAGATACCTATCTTACAGGACTAGCAGACGGACAATTTATAATTTATAGAAAAGGTAACATTCTTACAGGACTTAGCAGGCGGGCAATCTATAATTTATGGAAACGGTTACAATATTACAGGACTAGCAGATGGACAATCTATTATGTATAGAAAAGGTAACTATTTTACAGGACTAGCAGGCGGTCAATCTATAATTGATAGAAAGGCAGCTATTGTATAGGACTAGCAGACGGACGGATCTATAATTTATGAAAACGGTAACGATTCTAAAAGGACAAGCAGGCGGACAATCTATAATTTATGAAAACGGTAACGATTCTAAAAGGACAAGCAGGCGGACAATCTATAATTTATGGAAACGGTAACGATTCTAAAAGGACAAGCAGGCGGACAAACTATAATTTATAGAAAAAGTAACTATTTTACATGACAAGCAGATGGACAATCTATTATGTATAGAAAAGGTAACTATTTTACAGGACTAGCAGGCGGTCAATCTATAATTTATAGAAAAGGTAACATTCTTACAGGACTTAGCAGGCGGTCAATCTATAATTTATAGAAAAGGTAACTATTTTACAGGACTAGCAGATGTACAATCTATGATTTATAGAAAAGGTAAGCACATGAAGCTGACGACTGGCAAATTTTCTTAAAGCCTAGAGGCTAAAGGATCCAGAAAAGGACTGTCTTGGTTGGGCTTTTGTTTATGTTATTTTCTCCATAATTTTGAGCCTACATATAATTTTTTTTTATAATTTTAGGTGACGTGGGGGACTGGAAGAATTGGTTTACGGTAGCAGAAAACGAATGGTTTGATGAAGTTTATAAAGAAAAGATGAAAGATTCTAATCTTAAATTTGTTTATGAGCTGAAATAATTTACTAATCAATGGACCACTAAAGACAATTTTAATTTTTGTATGTGCCTTAATAAATAGCCTCTTCATGCCAAATTGTAAAAGGGAAAAGCTACCGCATATATGCACATGGAGGCAATCAGGAATTATTGCAATGCATAAAAGATTAAGCTGAATGCACCAAATCGCCTTTTTTGAAAGTTTTTCAAAAGCTATGTAAAGTACACACTGATCAAAGATGGTGTTTCTACGTAAATCCATTGGCAACCTCGCTGCTAGCACTTTCTCGTAAAATTTAACAGGAAAAGAATTGCAGTGCAATGCAATTGACATTTGAATTTGTCATTAAGAGGTATGCTTTTTATTTCATATAAAAATTTATATTATTGTTTATAAAATATGCTGTTTTGATTTTATAAAGGAATTTGATGTCAACAGGTTTTGTTTCTATTCTTGTGTAGTGAGAAACTATTCTTAAAGCGACAGATTCACAACCCGTTTGTCCTTTTTTTCGCGATTTAACGTAGAAAGTCATGACAAATGAATTAGTGGAGTCGACCAATCCAGTTGATCGCCTGTTAGATGTAGTTGTGCCATTTCAACGGACCTAATGAGACTGAATGGATGGCTGATTTCAATTGGTAGTGTTAGATGGTATATAGATGGGTGACAATATTATTGCATAAAATATTTAATTCATAGTTTATCATAAATAAGCTATCTAAGCTGATATACAAACCAGGGAACCGATTTGGTTCTCAGTTTGAAAATCTCTATCGCCCGGTTTCAATTTTGCTTGACGCAAAAATTGTTTCCGTTTGCGTACTTTGGAGTCTTTAGATATCATTTCTCCGTCAGAATAATAGTTGTGATCACTTCCTTTTTTCTTCCTTACCACACCGGCAACTGGCCGATGTGTAACTTCCGGTGGACCAAGAATTCGGAATAGTTTTGGGTTCTGATACCAAATATCTTCTGAAATTCTATTTGTAATGCTCGACCTATCAAATACAACGGAGTTCAAACTCGTCCATTGAAACTTTTTCTCTTTTGATAATATTTTATCAGACAGTATTTGTATAACTGATCTATTTTTAGGTTTATGGAATGATCTAATAGAGGCAGAATCAAAAGATTTACTTCGCAAAGCATTACGTGTAAACGTATCATTGTATGTTTCTTCTGGTAAGATGTGGTATCGTCCTGATGAAGATCGCTTGTCAGAATCACGCATGTCATCAGCCGTTCTAGCACATGTCTTTTGGTAATCTACATTATGGCACGTTTGTGGTACACTTCCGGTTTTACCAAAAGCAACCGGAAGTTTATCTTCTCTATAACCACACTGGCGGCATTTCTGAACGTGTGCTGCCTTATTTGGATTTATATGTATAACATCACTGTATCCTTGATTCGGTTGTGTTTTCGGTATGGATGTCTTAATTGGAAGTAATTTGTACTTTTGTTCTGGGTTAACTGAAACATTATACTGACTTCCACCCCAAGGATCTTCAAAATCTGACTCATCTGTATATTTCACGATGGATTTAAGAGAAGTCGATTTCCTCATGTCGGATTTAAGACCTCTTCGCGTAACGTAACTTTTAGCACAAGGATAGTCTGGATATTTTGGTGATTTCTCACAATCAGAAAATAATCCAGAATCTTGACTATCTGAATGGTTTCTTTCACTGAATAATGTCAAATGTGGCTTTGTGATCATTATGTCTTCAGGATTGGGTCTTTCGTCCACAAGACGTATCGTGTTTCCATCCGGATCACGAGTAGTGTACACATTGCCAGAAAGTTTAATGAGACGACATTTTGATTGCATGGCAGCTATTTCTCTAGTCCGAAACGACAGAATTGCATTCCGCACTTGTAATGGAGTTATAGACGAACAGTATTGCAGAGACAGTTGAATCTTTTGACCAGTTGGCGTATTTAATTGAAAGAAACAGAACCCAGGCTTTCTGCTCGTTCCTTCTCCATTAGTGAGGAGTCTGTAAAACTCTACCATTTTCTGGTAGTTTTTCACAAATAATTGGATGCGTATGTACTCTTGATCCATTAAGGTCGGACACACACTCCAAAGTGGCAGCTCATTTGACAGTTCATAGAAATCCTGTTGAGCTACAGTTCTTAATGCTACACTTTTCTTCTGAAGGATTACGGTATGATGTAGCTGCCACGGTGGTTTCAGTAACTCTCTTTTCAGTTTTTCGGCATTTACAGGCCCTCGTTCGGGTGCAAACAACATGATGGCAATTGACGGAGTTGTCAAGAGCTCGTCGTCTGCTACCTCTAAAGAATCAACACGATTACCTACTGAATAATCTGTGTAATTCAAATGAACGACTTCTGTGTACGGATCGAAAGGAAACAACATAGGTTCCAGACGGTTTGTTATGTGTGTTTTGGGGAAAGTGTTTTCGCCAAAGTAAATCGTGATCGATACACTTCCGGTCCGCGTTTCTGGCCTGGAAAGATTCTTAGAAATACTAGCCATAATGAAACCTAATTATCACAATACGAATAGGCTTATATCACAATCATTCTGCATGAATTGGTCATTGACATATATGTGGCCTCAACATGGAGATAATAGTACGTTGACAGTTATCACGATATAGATTATGAACATGTATGTGAATAAAACGTCTTTTCCATTTATCACAATCAATAATTATATCCATTAAATATCACAAAATAAACATGTTATATTTGTCATTGATATCACCTTCATCACAATATCACCCACGTTATATCATTACGATACGAATCGCGCTGCATGATCCTTATATTTGATCGTGATTACGGTTGATCAAAATAGTATGGCTTGTACTTACTATGATCCATTTGTATCGAGAACATCGAATACTAATTTTTCCAACATAGAAATATCATATGCACTTAACATGGTATTAACCACTTTCTAGGAATGTCCGCTAGATCGTGTTAGTCAGCATATATATATCGCGATAATATTATCACGATATCAATAAGATAGCACATCCAGTACGATTCGATTGATTTTTGAAATTGCAAGTATGATTTGTAGATGACAAAGCATCTAAGAACATTGGGAATATTTATCAAAAAAAACGTAGGGTGCTTTCAACATAAAAAAATACCACACGCCTGTCACGATATCAATATTGTGTCACAATATGTATGATTTGATTTTCGATGATATCCACATTATAATATAGCACGACGATCAACGAACATTGAGAAAATTGTATTTATCCATTTATTCCTTTTCGAATACAGAAATATCTCATTAGACTTATCACGATGTCAATATTGTAGCACATACAGCACGCTTCAATATTTTTTGACTATCAAAATGTATTTGATACAAAACACTTCATCTAAATTAGAAAATCGTACTTATCCAATCCATATTAGACTATTATATACACATTGTCTCCAACTTATCACGATATCAATATTGTAGCACATCCATTACAATTCGATATAATTATTTTTGTGAATCGATGTGTATTTGACACAAAACACTACATTGAGATTTAGAAAATCGTACTTATCCAATCCATATTAGACTATTATATACACACTGTCTCCAACTTATCACGATATCAATATTGTAGCACAGCAAGTACGATTCTATATATTATTGTGAACCAAAGTTCATTTTGAAACTTAATGATGTTCTCGGCTACACTTTCAAGATACCTTCTCAACCATGTATGTGATACGTTAATTCATGCGTTATCAATGTCCAAAATAATTTCAATACATAGTCCATCTAATTCATTCACCGGGCCATGATTTACAGTAGATGTTCACTTGAGTCCACCATTAATGATTTGTTGATATATGGATTTCAAACAAATGACATATTCACGAGAACGGTCGAGTATTAGACACACCCTCTAAATAGCAACTTCATAAGGAGTTCTTCATATATCATGTAATTATCATACAATACAAGCTGTAAATACAGAATTTGGTTATATTTTACTTATTATATTTTAAAGATCTCCCTATCACAATGATGCAGAAAAGTGGAACGTAAAACTCCATTCGTTTCATTTCATTTCCCGCCCTATCTCACAGTGATGCACGAAACACAAAAGGCAAGAGCAACTAAAGCAACAAAATTCTATGTATTGCACACTGCATGACGTTGACCATCCTTATTAGTCCATTAACGGCAAAAAAAACGCATACATACGCAATAATGAAGAGTGTACGGTATATTCAGTCTACGTTCTTTGATGAATGAATTTTTGATCCACAGATTTAAAGTAATTTGAATAAGTGTGAAAAACATATTCTAAAAAACGATTATTCTCTGGGATCCGGAAAATAAGTCTGTTCGAAATTGTTAAATATGAAATTAATGGAATTTTAAGGAGGTTTTCAATGCTTATTTAGGGCACCTTAAGCTTCAAGATAAATGGTTTTTGCGACAGTTTTTTTCTGGATCACAGGACCCACAAACGTGAACTGTAAATAGTGCTGCAATTGAAGCTATAAGTATCTCAAAAAAGCATACAGCGACTACAGAACATCCATTGACACCATTTAAAGAAGAGACAATTCAAATCAAACCTTTAAAATGAACATGTCACTAGAAAATAAAATATAGAGTCTACACATTCAATAGTCAGATGTGATATTAGAAAGTCTCCGAATACTCTGTAATGTTAAAGGGATTGTATCAAAAAATTTACAGCTAAATATTGAAAAACGTTTTTCTAAAAATTGTAAGTATATCAAGGACACTGATAGCATCAATTTGCACCATTCCAATTTTCTATCAGACGTCTATGGTGGTTCCTGCAATTCCACTAAAACTAAGTGTTTGACGACGCCACATTTCGCAATTAGTCACGTCATCAAACACTGAGGTTTAGTTATGTTGAATAGAAGGAACCACAGATGTCTGATTGAAAATTTGAATGGTGTAAATTGATGCTATCAGTGTCCCCGATGTACATACAATTTTAAGAAAATCTCTTTACAATCCCTTTAATTTAGCTGTGAATTTGTTGATACATTTGATGGTCAATACAAACCTAATTACCGTTGACTGTAACGTGACTTTTGACAATGAATTTAGAACTCTGACTAGAGTTAACAAGTTAAAATACAAACCTAATCTAACTTTAACTATTTAACAACTAGGTATAAATCTATCTCAATTCTCACCAGAATGTCAGTTCATTTTCTCTACTAACAGTAGACATACATTACTGTCGTTCTAAATTACTCCATTTTCAAACACCATCTGAATAGATACAACATTAAAGAGGCAATATCTAATGACGTAAAATATTAAAGGTCGATAGCCTAGAAATTTTAATTTCATAAAATTTTGAAATACTTTCTTTTTATTGATAATATGAAATAATACGAAATGAAAAATTATATTTTTGAAAGAATTATTTTTTTTTAAATTTGATGTATTTCATCAAATATCCTTTTATTTTCTGACTCAGGATATTGTGAATCCAACATGTTTCATGTGATTTCTACCATTGTCTGTGCTCATAGCATAAAATAGTTTGGCTTTTATGCAAAAATGACTTGGAGTGAAGTGGTGCGATTTTAGTAATTGAACATTTTTTAAAAATTGTACATTTTCGCACAAGTTGGCAAAAATTTTATCGTTTGAATCTTCTGAATATAGCAGAATTTTTTTTGTTTTTTTTGCAATGCATTTGGTCAGACAAGTATTTGAAAATTCCGCATATTTAAAGTTATTTACGTCAGTATCATTGCATTGATAATTTTCATTGATCTTTTCATTGACTACTTTTTTCAGTTACTTAATAATGCACTGTATTTAGTACTATTTACCGACTTGTTTTTCAAAAGAATTTTTTTTAACCATAGTCAAACTCAATACACAAGAAAAAATAGCAATATCTGTACAATAATAGCAGTATTCAAAAATAGCATCTGAAATACATACAAAGACAACAAAGATATTCGTTTAGTTAAAGATATACTATCTCTTAGATTGACAAAAAAATTATTTTTTTAAACTTGTCCAAATGAGTACATATTCATCAGTGGGCTTACCTGGTGTCATTGCTATACGACAGAATCCTTCTATAATCCAATAAATCCATAAAACTTAGTAATAATTCATTAAACTAAGTAATTATTGTAACTTGCTTAAAAGCGTCTTTCAATAGTTAAGTCATGACACCTGTTAAGTCCACCGATGTATAAAGACTCATTTTGGGCAAGTTTAAAAATTTCAATTTTTTGGTCATCCTAAGAGGTAGTATACCTTTAAGATAAAGACCTATAAAATATTTCAGATTATAAATAATGTGACATCAACAAGTTCAAGTTATTTTAATTACCTTGTCTTTCTACTTTTGTTTTCCTTTAAAGTAGTTTAGTTATGTTCTGACAGAGTCTTATCAACCTACTATTAAAGGAGCTTCACCAGGTGGAATATGCCAAAAATTAAAATTAAAATTCAATCTATTTTTCGTATTTTTTGTTAGAGATATCATAATTTATATGACAATAATAAATTTAAAATAAAAGTCAAAGCATATAAGCGCGTAGATCCGAGAATACAGTGCGTGGCAGTTGGTTGTGTTTTCGGTAGTAAAAAGTCGATATTTAAAGTGGCAGTTTAGGCTAATGTTTTTCATATATTTAGAAATGATCAAATCTTGCTTATAAGCCAAATAGTGAAAAAAAAATTGAAGAAAATCAGACTGCTATAGAAATTTTCACCGAAGGAAAGGGGTAAAATAATTCATTACTACAAAAACCAATCAAATGACACACACTTTCCCTTTAACTAAGTTATACTAAAAACATTTTAGAAATGAGTAATTGACATTAATTACCATCATATCGTAATGATGATTTTTACAAGGAAATCATGTGGTCAAACAAAACCATATTTCAAATAAATAATTTTTATTTTTCAAGTATTTTTACTTTCTTGAACTAATATTTGAACTCGATTAGTTCAGTTATACCTTCTCCTTGCTTCAGTCGCCAGTTGAATTCAATTGAACGATATACTAGAATAATGATAAGATAAAAAAAAAAATACTTGTAGGCCTACCTGGCCCTATATCCAAATTCAATACAATTTAGAATTATTTGAGATGAATGAATCTAACCAGCTTGTTCATTTACTTACCAGTATTTTATTTCTAAAGATGTCAGCTAATCTTTTCCAAAATTATGAACAATATCCTTTTTGTGTTCCAGAAAATATTTGCGTCAATATCTACCTTCGTGTGAACAAATCATTTGAAAATGGATTGCCACAGGGATCGTTGCTGTCACCCTTCTTATTCATTCGACGTGTAAATGAATCTATTGCTTTTTGTCCTGTTCTCAAAGTTTTTCATTGTTACACTGACAGTATTTAAGTACACGTTTATCGTTCTGTTATCTGACTCTGGGTGGATTAATTGAGGTTGCCCAAAGACCAACCCTAAGTATCTGGTTTGAAATGTGAAATATGGGAAAGATCAAGGCCTCATACGCCAGAAGGCATATTTCAATTATTCTACCCCACTGATGATTATAGGCTCAAATATCGTCATTAATAGATTATGGCAAGGGTTTTCGGTATATTTCAACATTTTTTAAATATAAACTTTAAAAATACATAAAATACTTTGTATTGAAAGTCAAAGCAAGTCATTGTACAACTACACTACCGGTATTGCCAATAAAACACACATACTTTTTATAAATCTTCGTATATTTGTTTCAAGGCGTTTAAGCAAGCGGAACGACTCGGAGTTCAGGGTGTTCTGTGTAAAAAAAAACTGGTATAGAATTTGTTTCCCTATGAAATGAATAACACTTCTTAGAATGAACATAAAATTGAAATTATCATACATGTATTTTGCCTATATATGAATATATAATCATCAGTTACCAGGGATTATTCAATTATTCAACAGAATCCCTGCATAATCCGATGAATCCATAAAGCTTAGTAACTTAGTATTAGTATCCATGAAATTACAAGTAATTATTGATAAACGATTCATTTTTATTAGCGTTGTTCAACAACTTCTTAGTTTAATGGATCTATTCGATGATACAGGGATTCTGTTGTTTAGATATGACACCAGGTAAGTCCATTGATATACTATGCTGCTTATTGGCCAAGTTTAATAATAAAATCTATGTTCACTCTAAGGGGTAGTATTCCTTTAAAGGGACAATTGCGCCATTTTAGTGGTCAATTTTTGTCTTGAATATATGTAAATAGTCTTCAGAAGTACTAAATCATATAATTCCTTTAAAAAATACTTTAAACTAGGACTTTTTTTATATATGTATTTTCTATATATCACAGAGTACATGTATCTTAAATTGACGAGTCGTCATTTTAACATTCAAACGCGGACAGTTCTGAACACACATGGATTTGAAGGCTCCAATTTGCGACGGTGAGCTGTAAACACTACTACTGATTGGCGTATCTAAGCAATTCCCGTTTCTCAGACTAAAGTCTGACTGGTAAAAAAAAATGGAGCATCTGTCCCTTTAAGACAAAAAATTGAAACAGGAAAAGACCTGTTTGGAAATTCGCACCTGTAATCATGTCATGTCTGTAATTACTAGTTTCTTAAAGTTAACTTGACGTGTGTATTCATTTACCTTTGCGATCAGTATACGATATCATTTAGTTCTAGAGTCGTTATTTAAGAAACGGGTCATTTACCAATGTTATTATATATGATTTATTACGTTTTTCACTAAAAATAATGAACATGTTAAGAATGATTCATAAATTGTTTCCTATAGTTTCTTTTAAGGATATTTTTATCAGAACTGGTGTATGTTTTAAAAGACACTTTTACTAGAACTAGGTTATATATATTTTAATAGATACTTTTACTAGAACTAGGTTATGTATATTTTAATAGATACTTTTACTAGGACAAGGTTATGTATATTTTAAAAGACACTTTTACTAGAACTAGGTTACGTATGTTTTAAAAGATACTTTTACTAGAACTAGGTTATGTATGTATTAAAAGACACTTTTACTAGAACTAGGCTATATATGTTTTAAAAGACACTTTTACTAGAACTAGGCTATATATGTTTTACAAGATACTTTTACTAGGACTAGGTTATGTATGTTTTAAAAGACACTTTTACTAGAACTAGGTTATGTATGTATTAAAAGACACTTTTACTAGAACTAGGCTATGTATGTTTTAAAAGATACTTTTACTAGAACTAAGTTATGTATGTTTTAAAAGATACTTTTACTAGAACTAGGCTATGTATGTTTTAAAAGACACTTTTACTAGAACTAGTTTATGTATGTTTTACAAGATACTTTTACTAGAACTAGGTTACGTATGTTTTAAAAGATACTTTTACTAGAACTAGGCTATGTATGTTTTAAAAGATACTTTTACTAGGACTAGGTCATGTATATTTAAAAAAAAAAACACTTTTACTAGAACTAGGTTATGTATATTTTAAAAGATACCTTTATCAGAACTGGGTTATGTATAAAGATACCTTTATCAAGACTATGTTATGCATAAAGATACTTTTATCAGAACTAGGTTATGTATGTTTTAAAGGATACTTTTACTAGTACTAGGTTATGTATGTATTAATTATTCGAAACAATGTTCTGTCAGTAAACATAACTCTGATATTTGAAACAATAAATTGCTAATAAACATACTTGTAATATTATAAACAATAAGCTTCAAATAAACATGACTCAAATATTTTAAACAGTGAACTTTAATTAAACATAGATCATATATTTACAAGAATTAATTGTAATTAAACATTGCTTAAATATTTAAAACAATAAGCTGTAAATAACATAGCTCAAATATTTAAAACAATTAGATGTAAATAACATAGCTCAAATATTTAAAACAACAATATGTAAATAACATAGCTCAAAAATTTAAAACAACAAGATGTAAATAACATAGCTCAAATATTTAAAACAACAAGATGTAAATAACATAGCTCAAAAATATAAAACAACAAGATGTAAATAACATAGCTCAAAAATTTAAAACAACAAGATGTAAATAACATAGCCCAAATATTTTACAAAAATGAGCTGTAAATAAACATAGCTCAACTATTTAAAATAATAAGATGTAAATACAAACAACATAGCTCAAATATTCAAACAATAAGCTGTAAATAACATTTCAATATTTGAAACAATAGATCAGATTTTCGAATTTAAGAAACAATAAGCTGTAGATATTTGAAACAATAGATCAGAATTTAGAAACGTTAGGCTTCTTCTTCTAAGCTGTAAATGTTTGAAACAATAGATTAGATTTAAGAAACAATGAGCTGTAAATATTTGAAACAATAGATTAGATTTTAGAAACAATGAGCTGTAAATATTTGAAACAATAGATTAGATTTAAGAAACAATCAGCTGTAAATATTTGAAACAATAGATTAGATTTTAGAAACAATAAGCTGTAAATATTTGAAACAATAGATAAGATTTTAGAAACAATGAGCTGTAAATATTTGAAACAATAGATTAGATTTTAGAAACAATGAGCTGTAAATATTTGAAACAATAGATTAGATTTTAGAAACAATAAGCTGTTAATATTTGAAACAATAGATTAGATTTTAGAAACAATGAGCTGTTAATATTTGAAACAATAGATTAGATTTAAGAAACAAGAGCTTCCAATAGAAGCAGCTCAAATATTGATTCAAACGATAAACTGTGAAGAGTTCACCGTCGAAATTTGAGCCTTCAAATCCACGTGTGTCCAGAATTAACCGCGTTTGATTGTTAAAATGACGACTCGTCATTTAAAGATATTCTGTGATATAGAAAAGACATATTTAGAAATAGTGAGTAAAATTCCTAGTTTGTATTATTTGTTAAGGAATAATGCGATTTTCGTATATGTGTAGTACTTCTGAAGACTATTTACATATAATCACCAGTCCCTTTAACATAGGCCTAATAATTTCATGTCTTACCGATTTCTATCCATGTTGCTTTCATCAGATAACTCGCATAATCTCCGGTTTCAAAAAACCATTCATCGGGTATATTACACCGATAGGGAAAGGGCGTCTGACACATTGGACCATTAGGATTTCCCTTGGTACATCCAGGGCCAAACCAAACGCCTGCTGTGTGCTTAGTAGAACACACTTCGGATTGTCCATCGTTATCCCTATCAAATGTACTAAATTGAGAACCATTAAGTCCAGCCATAAAATCGCCTAAAGAAAAATTGTAGATTTTTGAATATTGATCAAACGTAAGCGAGAAATTGAGAGATTCATTTTGAATTTGAACACTGGAATATTTGACATCAACAAAAGTCTGATGACGGTGCATACTTGTATACTTAATAGTCGTAAAGAATATAAACAAATCTTCATCCGGTCTCTGTGACGTCAGATAATGAGCATGGTTAAGTCCAGACCAAAATTCGGAGGTGACGTTCCCAAAACCAGAGACACATATTTAGCCCAGGTTTCCCGGAAATTGAGTTGCGATATTCTAGAATCTCTGTATTGTATTCTAGTTCTTCCATTTGACATGATACAATACGTTTTTCGAGGTGTGGATTCTTGATCCGGTTGTGTAACATAAACGCCCTCGCCACTCGTATAATGCCCTTCATCATATCCCTCTAAACAATCTGCAATACAAAAAGAAAGAAAAGCATGTTAACATTCGGTAGTTAAAAGTCGGTAGTGAAAAGACGCATCAATTTGATAATATTCGGTAGTAAAAAGTGTTAACACTCGGTAGTGAAAATTCGGTTTTTATAGTCGATGTAAAACTGATAATAAATATCGCACAATAAATATGAACATATTATTGGATTGCAAAGGTCAAGGTTATTTATGTTAAAGTTCAAAAATTTCGATAATTGTAAAACCTATTCCCTTTTTAATGTAAAAAGCCCAAACAAATGTAGCTTTGTCACAGATTGTTCAAAGTAGTGAACTATTTTCATGCAAAATTTATAGGGGGAAAAATTGCAAACTTGTTATAAAAATTGCAAATACTAAAGGTAAAGGTGAATGTAACCCGGATTTGCCACACCCACTTAATCAATGATACGATTTCTTACTGAAAAGAAAAGCATGTAAACTTTCGGTAGTTAAAAGACGCATGAACTGGATAACATTCGATAGTAAAAGGTGGTAAAATTCGGTCTGTATATCTTGAGCTGGAGTCGACGCTAGTAAACAAGGTTTGAGTTTGATTGAAAGTGTACGTTGAGTTTAAATCGGTTTGTTGATTAGCCTTATTTCTAATTAAGTTGATATTTCTCTGTAAGTTTCTTGATCCATAGTAGTATATAGCGAAGTAATAACACGAAATGGTTTGATTCTTCTTTAAAAATTAAAATAGGCCTACATTTTTCGCCAATTTACATTGTCTGCTACAATTAAGGTTTATAAAGAGATTGGAAACACACTGACATATTACACAAGTATTAGACATTTGTAGTTAATTGAGAAGGCAAAAAAATTCAAACGGTTTAATAAAAAATTACATAATCAGATTAATTGATCTTTGGCTCACTGATTTCACAAAAGGGTGTTAAATCAAACAGTTAGTTCTGTTATCGATGTTGTATAACAGTGCCAATCATTTTAACACATATTTTATCTTTATTTTTTAATAACTTAGCCAAATTTAATGATTTGGGTTTTTGAAGCAAACCATCCATTTCAGATATCGTTAAAGAGAGAAATACGAGTACATCCTAATTATGAAAAAAAAAAACCACATTTATGTGAGATAAATATATTTGATGTTAGGATCGTAGTTGGAAATTTAATTTTTTTTTCAAAACATGTTCTTGTCTTATTGTAATATATCACCAAAAAGTTACTGGACTAACTTGATTTACCACGTTCGCCTGGCTGTATTCAAAATTGGCCATTTTAGCGCTTTGATTTGCACTTATATCATACAACTCTGCCATTCCGTTAAAACTAAGCAATAAAAGACGTAACAAATATTTATATGAGGCAAAGGTGAAGGAATTAAATGTGAATTTTTAGTTAGAAATACCACAATTTTGTAAAGGGCGATAACATATTATTATGTTATTGTGGTCTGGTGGAATAATGGTTATGAATTATCTTGCGGAGGCTACGTCATTTCCGGTTAACTTTTTCTTGAATTGCATGAACCACAGGTATTGAGCGAAGAATTGGAATGTCACAATAAGAAGTCAAAGGTGTCCCATACACATAAAGAAAACCTATTTACAATCCCTTTAAAGTCTACAGTGGCTATTGAATCGGATTAGTTGTAAATCGACATTCGTTTCGGTGATGAGGAAACATTTATTAAAATAATTCAGTTATTATGACAATATCTTCGAATTTTATGCTCTGATAAAATTATCGACCACAATGTATAAATTGACAAAACTTTTGGGATTTGCCAAATTGTTTCTAATGTAAGCTAAGCTTCTAGATCGAATATGCTTAATTGTAGTTGGAAGCGTTGTTACAGAAAATCCAATGAAAACACTCATAGACAGGCATAGTTTGGACTTCAGAGACTAATGGAGAAGGTAAACCCAAATAAATGCATAGAGTTATACCTTTCATTAGCCGTGAACAATCCCAACCCACATAACCATTAGTACATTCACTACAGCGAGCCGAAGAAAGTTGCGTTGCTCCATTTTTGCACTTTATTTCCTACAAAAAAAAAGAAAATCGTCGGTTTGTTTTATTAGGTGACGTTTTATAACTTCCTCGTCTCCCCAACTCTTTCGAAACTTTTGCATTTACATATCTTTATTCATTGTTATAAAACTCTGGTGACGTCATCCCACTTTTCTGAGGGAGATTTCATTTCGCACAGACAAAAAATACCACTTTCATATAAACTCCCTGTGATATAACTTTTAAATTCTCTGGTGTATTATATGTAAAGTTTCGTAGATTATTGCCGTACTTAATTTTAACCCGATTCCTAACTATAGGTATTTTCACCCACTTGATGCGTGGGACTTGGGTGTTAGGAGTGTGGCCAACTTGAGTAGAAGAAAATTTGTTTAGAATTGTGGAAATGTAGATGAAACAAATTATTGCTGAGGTCTGGGAACCTCTGCCGCTTATAAAATATAATTACAGTCTAGTTCAATGGTCGGCGACTGAATTGACCAGGTTTGTAGATACGAGTTACACCCCTTTCCCAGAAAACGTCTTTTACCGAGAATGTTTTAGATTTATATACATTAAAGATTAATTTGGTGAACTTCAGTGGACAGGGCCAAATGTGAACCTTTTTATTTTATATCTTGTAATGTAAATTAGATTGGGTAAACGGGTCATAGCTCGATAATGAATTCATCATCTCTTATTTTCTCAGACCCACGAAACTCTTCAGCACGCGGTGGAAGGTCCCATACCACATGGAGAATAATTATAACTTACGAGGTTAAAGCCAAAGTTCCGACACCTACAAATAGTAAGTATATCTCACTGGTTGATGAACTACATGTATATATATTCTATATATTTCTTACCTATATATGTCAGTTTCAAGAAAAGACGAGTCGTCTTGTGGCAATGATCTTTACTGAATTACTGGTTCTCAGATCTGGGCGATTTGAATTAATATAGAAAAAGAACTTATTCAATATCACTTACCTTATGAATGTATCTTTTATTAGGATTGACAACCATATCACTACATGTTTCATCTCCTACTCTTTTAAATAAATAACATTTCTTCTCTCTTCTGAAAACAAATATCAAGACTAGCCTGCACTATTACGTTTCAAGATTATGTTAAAATGAATGGAGTTTTACTTTTCAGTAATACTTTTACTTACTTTTCAGCACCATGTGGGCTAATGAACGCCATACAGGGTGCACTGGGGGAAATTTTGCCAGGACAGCGGCATTAGCCTTCTCTTTTTTGAATTTCCAACTGTCGAGGGATTTTTAACATGCACAGCCTGTAGCACACGAGGCCTCGGTTTATTGTCCGATCCAACGACTAGACGCTTTTTTCATGTCAGCCCCTCTTACCTGCATCACTGACAGGGGGAAACCGTGTTGAACCCTGGATTTCAGGTCAGCGAGCATGGGCTACCGCGACTCCCAGATCATGTTATAGAAAATAAACCAACACTTTTCTAACCAATGATTGAGCACCAGAAGTTGCTGGTGTTCTTGGTGGTCTACTTCCTATCAAATTGAATCTGGTAATTGACTTTAGCGGTTGAAATATTCGACCATCTTGTTGATCAGCGTTGTTGGCAGTCGATATGTCATCTTGTTGATCAAAGTATTTAGCAGTCGGTATGTCATCTTGTTGATCAGTGTTGTTAGCAGTCGGTATGTCATCTTGTTGATCAAAGTAATGAGCAGTTGGTATGTCATCTTGTTGATCAAAGTTGTTACCAGTCTGTATGAAAGTATGCGAAATCTTCACAACTGTGTCTAATACCTCAACTACAATAGCCACCTTTATTGTATCACAGAATGCAGTAATTTGAATGTATTGCACAGCCAATCAGAGCCCTCGACATAAAGACTGTAAACCGAGCCGAGGGCTCTGATTGGCTGTATTTGCTAGTGTACAATGCAATCAAATCGCTGCATTTAAAAACTTCTGTGATAGAAGAAAGTTGGCTATTGCTTTATGCTATAAGATGCTATGCATCGTCAATAATTCTACTTACCTGTCATAAGCGAAAGAAAAACACCTGACTTCGTCTTTACATACTTTCAAACATCTCATAAATACTAAAGTTGTCAACGATTTAAACGCCAATTCTGTAGCCAATGTTTTTCCCATACAATTTTTATTATTGTGAGCGAAAAATTTGGAAAGACCATCACAGTAGAAAAAGCATAACCCAAAGATGATCAGGGTTTGCATTTTGAATCTTTAGCCTTGGCGTACTAATAATTTTGTTGTAATTGTTAATTGTTTACGTTTATCCCCATGTTCGTTTAGCCTAATAACGGTAGTATATTATCAACATTCTAGATATGGATGTGGATGATATCGTATGTTGCTAAAGGAAAGGTTTATCCCCAGATAATGCTAGCGTTTCGTTTCATTGTCTTTTGTATGAAAATGGTAATACAATCAATTTAATCTGCTGTTTGCTTTTTTTCATGTATTCAGAGTTATTCCCAACAGTGTCGCTTGACTTGTTTAATATTTTATTTATAGGATAACAATTTTTTAAATTTTTGTTGCGAGATATAATACGTTTATTTTCAACCAATACCATAAAAGTATTTCCATACCCTTGATCAAACGAAACTACGTAAGCGTTATTACAATTTTTAATAACCTTAAGTTCTTATTGAATATAATTAAGAGTTTTAACCATTAATACATAATTTGACCTTTCTTGATCGGTCACTCATTGGAATTCTGTTGGTAATTCTCTTCTAATTTAGCTAATTATGAATTAATTATGGACATGTGAGACAAACTGGTATTCATTAGAACACCTCTACTTTCCGTATAAGTGTTATTTCTAAAAGATTATTAAATGAATAATAGCAGACAAAATGAAGACGAAAGATTTGCTGAAAATGCAATACAATGGCAAAGTTTGCTTCTCACAAAACATGGCGGATGAAATCGAGACTTGATCTAGTAACCCGAGATCCAAGTGCCTTAACTTGAAACTTGATCTACAAACACGAGATATAAGTGCTTTAAAGTGAGACTTGATGTGGTAACTGGGGATTCAAGGGCTTTAACTTGAGACTTGATCTAGTAACCTGAGATCCAAGTGCTTTAACTTGAGATTTGATCTAGAAACCCGAGATTCAAGTGCTTAGAAATGAGACTTGATCTAGTAAACCGAAATCCAAGTGCTCTAACTTGAGACTTGATCTGGTAACTGGGGATCCAAGTGTTTTAAATTGAGACTTGATCTGGTAACTGGGGATCCAAGTGCTTTAACTTGAGACTTGATCTACAAACCCGAGATCCAAGTGTTTATACTTGGGACATGATCGAGAAATCCGAGATCCAAGTGCTTTATATTGAGACTTTATCTAGTAACCCGAGATCCAGGTGCTTATACTTGAGACTTGATCTAGTAACCCGAGATCCAAGTGCTTATACTGGAGACTTGATCTAGTAACCCGAGATCCAAGTGCTTATACTGGAGACTTGATCTAGTAACCCGAGATCCAAGTGCCTTAACTTGAAACATGATCCATGTCATACAATAGCGCAACTGCCATTACAGAAATTTTGACGCCGAATCGAATCGTGAAGTAAAATCTCGCGTGTGGCCATGCTTCCACGACAAGATTATCGCGTTGCCGACAGGATTTATAACATCAAAACAAAATCAGTTTGATATCTGTATTGCATAATCCGCACACGATTATAGACACAGTAACAAACGCTGGACTGGAGATATTTTTTGTCTCCTTGTGTGCCAGCAGTCGGCCGGTGAAACTCTTGACAAGGCTATAGTCGATTTTTGTCGCAGACTCGAATCTTGAGTAAAATCTCACGAAATTGGTCTTGAATTTTCTTCGGTTCTTTGTTACCTCTCGGAAACGGCACCTGTACTTCTGTCGAGAAACTGAATCAGCTTTAGTAATATTAACACCCTCGATATGAAAGGCTTCAAAGATATGACAATTGTTCAAAGTGTATAGCACAATGAGATTCTCCCCACGGACCCCATTCTAACGACGGTGCTGTTGGAAAAGGTAACGCTACTAGAAACAATTCCAGAAAGGTTTTGGACCTTTGCAGTATTAAGTATAACTATATAACTATTTTTCTGTCAACTTCCAAATCCAATAAAGTCAATACTTTGATATGTCCTAATATCTTGGCACTTCAAATTCATGATATTTCTCTTGAGAACAAGGTATAAGGCCCAAGAAATCAGATATCTGTTGTTTGCCAATGAATGTCAAGTCATCCAAGTAGTGATTCAGAAAAGTCTGACTTTATTTTTGCTCCATTACCGATTGAAAAAACGTTGCAGTTTTTTCAAAGATACTGCAGCCCATTGGAAGTCATTTATCATTAAAGAAATTATTGTCAAATTTGAACCCAAGATGATCAAAGTCACCGGGATAGACTCCCAAAAGTCTGAAAGCAGATTTAATGTCAATTCGTCCTAATAAGGCGTTCTTTCCCATTTTGTCTTTTATCAAAACGGTATAATTATATTTCACTCGGATCCGGATCGATAAAAATGTAATCGAGTCTTTTCAGAGTGGTTGCGTAAAATTTCTGCTATATGAATGGATTTCGTAAAAATCGCATTTATTGAATCTATAGGCGAGAACTAGACATGCCATTGCTTTGCCCTCTGCATCCTTTAATGAAATACCCATCTGATATGGCGGATTACAGGTCTCATAAAATTCCAGTTTGATACCCGATTATATTACATTAGAAGAAATGGGCTCAAGAAAGCCTATTCAAATAGAACGTCTTGCTCACTGGTCACTGTCTGAATTGTCAAGGTTTGTAGATACGAGTTGCACCCCTTTGCAGTAAAACACCTCTACCATAGAATGTTTTGGACTTATACGAATAAGAGGGGACATTGGTTAACTCCTGTGGACACTACCATCTGCAAGTTTTGTTAAAACTGTGTGTTTGTCTCACATTTACATTGTAAATTAGATAGGTATGATGGGGCCCCAAGCTGATATATAGACAAGATATTACAGAAGAATTGTTACAGAACTAAGATAAAAAGTGTAATAAGTTTCTCAGACATGTATTTTCACATACATCATCAAACATAAAATGAAAATTCAACATGTATGTATGACACTTTTATTGTTACATAATCTTTTGGAAAGATAACAAAACATAACAATCATTTAATACACATAAATAATGACTGTCCAACACATAAATTGCTATAAATTTCATCACATTGTCTTGAAGACATAATTCTAACCTGTTCATGAGCAATTTTCATTTCTTTTTTATTAGTTTTTATTTTTAATATATTTGTATTACATAGCCACTTAAATAAGTGTCTAACAATAGTGCACGTTTGTCAAATTAACCTTCAGATCCAATGCGATAAACGCAGCATAGCAAGTGCCAGAGCTGAAATTTTATTGGTTACAGCAGACGTCATCCAGTTAGGTCAAAAGGTTAATTTGACAAATGTTCAAGAGGGCTGTTGTTAGACCCTAACTGAAATGGCTATATTAAAAATAAAAGCTAATAAAGAAACAGGAAGAAAGTTTGGTCTAATTTTAATTAGACTGGTACATGTGTATTGGAAGGCTGATAACTTCTACTTTCTCCATTTTGATTTTTCATCAGATACCTGTGGTTCCTGTTACATCATAATTTGGTAATGATTCTTAAAAACACAGGGCACAAAGCTGCAAATCATATGCATATGTCAGAAAGTCTCCTTCAAGTTCATTGAAGATATTTTACAAATTGGCTCAATATCTATAGATTTAAAGAATTTGAATTTGGGTCAATGAAAATATAATAATTTAAGTTAATACATAATACATATGTCAACACCAAAACATGCCTATAAAAGTGACCCTTTCTAATTCTGTACTAAAAGATCACAAATTTCATTTTGAAAGATTACAGATTCTTTTAAATTTATAGAATCAATTAGATGTTTACTTTAAATTTGGGGAACATTACACATAATAATTTTAGTGTAAGCAACTTTACATGATGAATTTCCTATTAGATAATACATATTCCAGCACCAAATCATGCCTCTTTAAGCGACCCTCTCTTATTCTGTACAAATCTCATAATAAATGCTAAAACTAGCCACTATTTTGATAGGGCCATAATACTTAATAAACATACATACATATAAGGATATGGTATCACAAAAAGCTTTATATAATTTTATATAGATTTATCAAGAGCTGGGGACTCAGATTTGGGATGCATCATATGACAACCATTTTTCTGCCACAATTCAATAGCTTCATTCACAACTTTATCACCACAATCAGCTGGAATCTACAACAAGAACATATCACAGTTGAGATAAAAACAAAATAGTGTATAACACCCAAGTACCGGTATTTCAAAATGAAAAGTGGTATCAGGTGTCTACAAGAGTAAGCATACCCTCATTATAACACACAGCACATCAGGAACCACCATAAAGGTGTGGAGGGTTTTCCCCTTTCTCCAAAAAGTTCTGAACCATGAGAGTAAGAATGCTTAGCTTTTAGAAAAAAAACTTACATTACAAAAGACAGTACACATTTATTTAGCAATTTAACCTGGCACTGGGTAAATGTTGACTCTGGACTGATTATTTGTCTGCGTTTATTGATCATATATTATTGAAACTTCAGTATTTTGGGAAATTTTCATAATGAAACATTAGCCAGCTTTTGTTATATCCATACACATACCTTCCGTAGATATTTCACCATGTCATCTGTATTATTCATGCTTAATAAAGGCCTTTTAAAAGTTAAAAATATACACACAGCTACATAAACTAGAATAGCACAACTACCTCCAATAACTTTATCCCAAATTCTGTAAGTAGAATAACAAATTGACTATATATCTTTATTGTACAGAGATCCTAGTATGGAATAAAAAAACATGGAAATGGAAAATATCAGCTGAGGGTCAAGGGGGCTATAAGCCTCCATTGGAAGTAAAGGGAAATAATTTACCATTTAAGATGCTTTGGTAGTCATTTCCTACATATATAGATTAGGGTGATTGAAACGTAACAAGTTACTATTCAATATAAGGCACTGACACAGGGTTAAAGTTATGTTTACAATAATTGTGATGCTAATATGCAATGAACTAAGTCAAAGAAGATCATAACGGTAATCATATAGATCTTCTTGGACCTAATAAAGAAATTCACAATACTTATAATCTAAATTTACAGAAATAACATTATTGGAACAATTGTCTGTGGAAAATACAGAATCATAAAAACTCTGACTGCCTACATATATAAAAAAATCTTTTCATCCCTCAAACCAGATTTTTAGTGGTAAAAGTATGGTAGAGTAGGATGTGTTTATCAATTGGAATCATTCTTCATATATTTACCTTTCAAACGAAGTTTCTGGAAGGACATCAGCAAAACAACTACGAAACCAACTTATTAAAGGGAGGGAACTCAATATATCATGTTGTTCTAAATGATTTAATAACTTAAGATCACTATCTTCCTTTTTCAAACAAACCAATGTTTTATCTATCTGAAATAAAAAAAAATATTGAAATCTATATCTAGTGGCAAATATTTTTGAATCAGTAGACTAGGTGAAGGGATGCAAGTACTGACACAGAAATGTCAAGGGGGCTCACAGCACAAGGCATAAAAGAACCCTATGACAGCATATTTAAAACTGGGGAACCAAAGCTGAGCTAGCCCATTCCAGGTGGATGGAAGTTTTGATTTCTGCATCCAGCTTTCTGGTACCATTGTATCATTGCAGTGACATCTGCAGACAAGTAATTAGAACTGTACTTGTATGTTAAAGATGTTTCTGAGAAGCCCGTGAATTACACTAGCAAAACATTCTTAATCTTACCAGCACTGGAAAATTGTCATGAAATTTCTTAAAGTATGTGAAGAATTTAGTTGATATCCAATACTGGTCAACATTATCATCTGTTAAACTACAAACTCCTTTCGCTATGGCAAGAAAAGACAGAAAACCATCATCCTTCTTCTGCAAATGAAATATTTTCAATAATAACAAACTCCATTGTCAGCTTTTGAGATGCCTAAATGCCTAATTTCTTTTTATATAAATGAGAACCAGATGTCAGATTTAAATGTTGCAATGTGACACAGACAGATCAAACTTTTACAAGGACATTTAACTCCTTAAAAAAAACAAAATAAAAAAGAATTTTGTATAATCCTATAAAAGAGCTTACCAAATTACTTTCTTCAAAAGGCAAACAACCCTGTTCCAATAAAAACATTTTCAATAAAACTTCTTCCTCTAGTGAATTAGAATCTATTCTTTTCAGCAATTTTAACCCATGATGCAGATCTTTATATTGTTGTGTTCTCTGTTCAAGTACAAACTTTTGACTAGACTGGCTGGCAGGTAAAACACCTGAAATGTTCATAACATCATTTTAGATTTGGCATATCATGAGGGTAAACAATTTTCACGAAAAAAAATAAAATAAAATAAAATAAAAAAAATGCAATGCATGAGACTGTGAAATCTTAATATTAACAATCCTGTAATAAACATGATAAAATGAAAACTGAAATGCAAAAAGTGGAGTTCTAATTCTTAATTTTCTGCACCATGCTAATGTAATGTATAATGACTAATGTGTAATATAATAATAGCCTGTACATATTATTCTGGTTTCTCTCTACACAAACCTAGTAAAATTTTCCAAACAACTAATCTGTACATGGCAGGAAGAGTAAATCTCAAGCAGAATTGTCTCAACTTTTCAATATCAAGGTGATGTTCTTTTAAAAGAATCTCCACCGATTTTTTCTCTTCTACCACTCGAAAACCAAATTTCTCGTAATAATATTGTCTGAAATTTCTTTCCTCCATTTCAATTAACTGCACTAGTTAATTAGCCATGAACAGATTGCCACGCAAAGTGAAAGACATTGGTTTAAATTATTTTTTATAAATAATTTCTCGAAATAATTTCTCTAGCAGAAGACATTTTTAAGTCACGTGACTAGCAGGTGCCCGGTCCGTTCAAATTTCAGCATCTATCTTTAATGGAAAGAAAACGAATAAATTTCTAAAATGTTTACAGAAACCACCGACAGGAAAATTATATTATACAAACCTTTCATAAAATAACCTTGTTTAAAATCAAATTTCCTTTTATCCTAACTATAATAATATAAGCTCAAAGGATTTCAGTTATGAAATTGTACGAGCAAAAAAAAAGAAGAAATGAAGGAATATTTAGTTTCGTATTTGAATAATCAAAAACAGTTTCTCCAATCAAATTATTCAATTATTTGCATCTTTCTAGCAAGCACGTTAAAAGATAGTTTTTGAAGTCGATTTCCACTCATGCATTGGAATAACAAAAGCTCATATGTATTTTACGAAACTTCGATATTAGCTAGCTTTATCAGATTGACAAGATGGAAGACGAAAGTAAAGTGATAGTGTACAACTCTGACAAACCGACGGATCAATCACCTGTGTCGGCTGTTGATTTGTCCAAAACACTACAGAAACTTATGCTTAGGTAAGAACGCAAAAGGTCGCATGTCTTTGGCTGACACGTAGAATATAATATATTTTGAAATTCTAGTCGAGAAACTTCTCCGTTCTGCCTGGTCTGATATTTCGGACAATATTTAGGCCTTAGCCTTAAAAATTATTACCGAAGTCTCAATTTGATATCTGTAGTAACTAATAGTGGCATGGAATCAGAATGCTGTATTTATGACCATGGGTTTTATTAGGAGCTGTAGCAGGAATTAGGCTGGCGGAGACTTGAAAGTAAACCAAACCTGTTTACCAAAGTTAGTCCGAAACATCTGCATCTATTCCAGCTTCTGATAGATATTTTGACAGCAGGCTAATGGGCTGGAATAGTCAAAGTCATCTACCTCTATTCAAGCCCCCTGATACTCACTGATAGTTATCTGTCCAAATAGCTATTAGAGACTGGAATAGATACAGCTGTTTTTGTCTAAATTGCTGGACTAGTCAGAAAACCTAGGCCCTGTTTTATTGGAATTTTCCACACTTTCAAAGATGAGTTTTTTTGTTCAAACATAATGTTAAATTACCTTTATGACTGTAAATTAGTGTTGGGCATCACCATAACTTTAGTTTTGTAGGTATCAAGTGACTATGTGACCCCTGACCCTTTGGCAGCGCACACAGTTTTGAACGGCCAATGAGAGATCAGTTTAGTTAGAAAAAACATTGATGGACCTGCAGATGTGACATCTTTTCAAAAATATCTTGGTTTAACAGAACAAATTTAAATAATTAGGTTTAAAAACCCTGCAAAAATCCCATATAATATATTATATTGTTTTTCTGTCTCAACACCAGCAAGCAACTTTCAAAATGGTTATCAGAGGCTGGAATAGAGGCATCTATTTTGGTCTACAGTTGAATATGCATGTTCTTTCACTAAATTGTTATCTATAGTTTTTAGGCTATTTAGAAAATATTTTTGATTGCATTACCTTGTATAATAGAAGAAACCTTGCTATTAAAATTTCTTTGCAGACTTTCTATTCTATTATGAATCAGTTTGATGAATAACAAGTATTTTTTGTATTTTGATTGTAGATTGAAAGGAGAATTTATGGCAGATGATGGCAAAGGTGTAGATTATTCTAAGTTTAAAACCAGCCAGCTATTCCCAGAATATAAAAAACAAGCCTGTCAACTACAGAATATAGATCTTAATACTTTATCAGAAGTGGAGAAGAAAGTGTTTTTTATCAGTATCCTTTTACTTACACTTTTAAAGTGGGGTTGTCCCAAATGATACCAAATTTTATTACGTTAAAGTGACAGATTCACCATCTGTGTGACCAAATATACTTTATTCTCAGAAACAGAAATTTTTAGCTAAGCTATTCAGTTATAGTATTCACAGTTCAATTTCGAAATTTTAGCCTTTGAAACCATGTGTGTCTAGAATTATCTGCATTTGAAAGTTAAAAAGACAACAAGATACAATAAATGATGTAATATACAAGAGATAATACTAGAGGGGTCCTTTGATTGAAGTTAAAAACTCTGAAAACCATACATTTTCCATCTCTGGATTTTGTATATGTTGTAGGGCAGACATTTTTTGATGCCCTTATATAACTTTATTGCTAATCTGCTCAAATTGTTGCAGTAATAAAAGAAAGACAGTGAGTCATGATACAAGAGAAGGCTTGACATTGTGAAGATGACATGTAGTTACACAATCATAATTTATGGTGCAATCAATAGATATTAACAATATGGCAGGGCAATATTATATCATTGTCAGCAGAATATTGTTTAGTGTTATATTTTATGAGAATAGAATTCTAACTTGTAGCACCATATTTGTTTACATCTGAGTGACTAAAAAGACTAATGTCAGTTTTTCAATTCAGCTTACAAGAGTAGTTTCTATTGATATTACTATGATGTAATCACTTTTGAGTCAAGTGTATTGTAGGCTTCTTTGTAAAAAAGAACAGTCCGTCCTCATTTTTTCTTCATCTCATTTCCAAGTCGTATAACGAATACGGGTTTTGACAAGTCTTATTAACCCATATTAAACTAACCCTACTACACTTCGTTTTTGGAGCGTGGAAATGAGTTTGGTGGTATTTAAATCTGACCAATCAGATTGGTAGAACAGAAATGAGGTCTTGTAAAATAAACACAACACCGCTTTGCCGCCGCCCGTTTGAAGAGATAACATATTCTTTCCAAGTAAATATTCCAAAGTAAGATTTGATTTTCTTTCGGCTTCAATTCTTTAACAAAAATCTTACTCAATTCTGGCACACTGCTTTCGTTTTTTTTTTTACGTGACAAGTGTTTCATTTTGATTGGCTGAAATTTGCTACCAATACAGTTGCGCCAATTTTGATTGGAAAATATTTATCTATGAATAAGTAATTTTTCTCCACTTGTTACCACGGCCCCTAGACGAATGGGGGTGTGGTTTGGACACGATGCTCATTTCCCCTACAATCCTATCATAGCAAATTTATACATGAGTGTAAAACATCATCAGATTTGAACCATTGAGGTGTGGGTAAATAAGGGCAAGCCCTAAGAATAATGGTAGTCTTAATTATTTTGATTAATTAATCTGTCACTGTCAAGTGAAACAGTACAATATATCTATCGTATTGTCTAGTCCATATTGCCTAACAAATTACAAATGAAATTGTATTGTTGAACATGACATATTCTCATTAAGATTTGACAGTGTCTGATGTCTGATTTGAATTTCTTGTTTTTTTATCAATCTTATCACATTTGACATTTCACTTCTGTCTTTTTTTTTCAAAAATTGATTTGTATATCGCTGACATTAATAATGACAAAAAATATTACAATAGATAGTTTGATATCTGTCTCAACTTTGTGAAAGTGATTAATCATTTCAATATTTTTGCTGTATCATTCTAATTGAAAAAGGTCAAAATTTCAGCTATCTGTATCACCTTTCAGAGATAAAATTACAGTTCTTCTGCAATTCAACAGAAAAATTAATTGAAATTTAGATTGTCCTCACATGTCCTAATAGTCCAAAACATCTGCCTCTATTCCAGCTATTGTAAATGTTAAATAAAGGAACACAATTTTATGGTATACTACTCCTTAGTTTTATAACACACAACGTTTCAACAATCTACATTCACCTAATGATGACAATCTAGATTTGTTGAAACGTCGTGTGTAATAAAACTCAGAAGTAGTATACCATAAAATTGTGTTCCTTTATTTAATGTGATTTCTACCCCTATAGATAGTTATCAGAGGCTGGAATAATGGCAGATATTTGAGATTAATGCCCTAACTGTTTGATATTAATATTCTACTTGACCTTGAGATGTCACAAGCATGAGATAGTGATGTAATAAATAATAAAATAACATGTTTCTAATCTAACACAATCCAATAGTTTGATAAATATGATCCAGAATGACTGTTAGAATCATTTCATATCTACTGATTTTGATGGCTTATAGACTTCCATCTTATACATTGCAATTTTGATACATGGTTATTTGGTATTTTGATTAATATCTGTTGAGTACAAAATTTGTGCAGCGATTTTATTAAAATGTAATAAATACCAGACTTATTGATAAAATGATTGAATAACTCCATAGATACAAATTATATATAGGTGAATTGTTTCAGTAACCAGTCTTTAATTGCATTCTGTCAATAATATTCAATACTGATATTGATCTTTTCATGACAAATATGTCTGATATCCATTATCTCTATCAAAATTAATCAGTTATTGTGAAATTATCTGATTAAAATACCAATGAAGGAATACAAAATATATGGGCAACAGACTGAAAAATGACAAATTCAAAATAATTCCTCTTGAAGGGACAGATTCGCCATTTGTTTGACCAATCTTACCATAGTCTCAGAAACTCAGAAAATGCCTAGTTTGAAGTATTTTTAACGGAATTATGTGATTTTCATACATTTCTAGAAGACGATTTACATATATTTGAGTCTGAAATCAGCCTCCATAAATGGTGCATCTGTCCCTTTAATTGACATTTTCAAGTGAAGAGTACAAATCACAAACACTTAATATTAAGCAGTGTGCTTATTCCATAATATTGTCTTGAGTTTGTGCTTTGTAGAATGAACATAAAATTTAAATTCACAAATTTGGCCATATAAGAGTATATATATTTATCATTGGTGTCATAACAATACAATAGAATCCTTTTATAATCCAATGAATTCATAAATTAAATGATTATTCAAAACCTCTTATGTATTTATTGGATTATACAGGGATTCTGTATTGTATAGTTATGATACCAGGTTTATAAGTCCACTGATAAATATATTCTCTTAATGGCCAAATTTAATAATTTTAATTTTTTGTTCCTTAAGTCAGTGTTAATTTGCCAAAATTTACATTTTTAAGACTATCTTAAATTTTTCAAAACAAATTTTCGTACAAAAATTGACATGAGAATAGTATTCTCAAAAAGGCACTGGCCTATGTAATGAAATATGAAACAAAAACAATGAAATGAAGTGAATGCAGTTTTACGTCCTACTTTTCTGCACCATGTGAGCTAATGAAGACGGGCAATGCCATGCAGGGTGCAGGACTGTGGCATTAGCCTGCTCTTTTTCAATTTCCAACTGTAGAGGGATCTTTAACGTGCACAGCCTGTAGCACACGGGGCCTTGGTTCATTGTCCCATTAGAACGACTAGACACTTTTTTCATGTCAGCCCCTCTTACCTACATCACTGACGGGGAAACTGGGTTGAAAAATCTGAAGGTATTATCTCGACATATGCCGGGATTGAACCCTGGACCTTCAGGTTAGCGAGCAAGCGTTAACTCATAGAAAGGAACAAAAACAAGAGGTTTGAGATGATAAGTGTAAATAGTTAAAAAAAAATAGTAATATTTCAATGTGTCCACAGAACGTTGTCAGACAGTTGAAAACTATTGATCAGCACTCCTTAAAAACAGTTAGGATAAAAATAGATTGGAGAAATAGATTCAGTAATAATCTTTCTGACCTATAACCTATGACCCATATATAGATATCTTGTATAAGCTTATTGTTTATTTATTGATAACAAATAGGTCAAAAACAGGTCCACTTGTTTTGCTGTTTTGTAATTTTTTTCCATTCACATAAATCAAGTGTGGAGAAGTGACACAGAAAAAAAAAACTATGTTAGTTAACACAGAAAGTCAAGTTTTGAAAGCAGTTAATTTAGGCCATTGAGCAAGTGTAAAAAGGCTGTATAAGTCGATGACCTTAAATTCTTTTCGATAGTGACGTTATTTTTTTTTATGTATACTATCATACAAGAATGCTATGCAAATCAAAATTGATTGATAAATGGTTTCAAGTCAGCCCCATCGTTAGAGTGGGGGGGTGGGCCCCAGCAAGTGAGAGTTAAGCAAAACCTTCTGCAGTACAGACTCTAGTTTCAATAAACTTGTTAAGGCTAGAATTTTCATCTGACACCATTCCACTTTTCAATCAGATGTCTGTGGTTCTGACAATTCTAAAGTGAAGTGTTTGATGACGTAACTAATCAAGAAATATGTTTTATCACTTCAGGCCCTTTGCGATAGTAGTGACACTTTAATGATCTCTTTAATGTTCTAAACAAATATTTGAATTGTGCTACTAAAAAATTCATAATTTAAGGAAGGATATTTCTAGAAAGAAGACAAAAACTATAATAAATAAATAAATATGTAATTTGTCAAGGTTAAATATAAAGAAATAGCCTGTGTAATAGTAATAATAATATTAGCTGAGGAAATCCTGAAACTTAAATGAAATAATTAAAGAATAAGTTTTATGTGCCAATTTTTTGCACATGATTGGGCAAATGAAACAAGGTTTAATACTATAGAGTGTGCAATGAGCAAAAGGTTGTCTGGCTTTAGCTTTTGCCTGCTCTTTTTCGGTTTCCATTTGTCAGCCTGTAGCACAAACAATCTTAGAATTATATCATAATTTCATATCTTTTTCATTTTCTGATATCTACATTGTAATCTAAGAAGTTTTCTACCGAAAGCTTGTTCCACCAATTAAAGCGTGTCATTTGAAATCTATTTCTTGATCAAATAGAGTGGCTCAGTGAGTTAGATGCTTGCTCGCTAATTGAAGGTTCAGGGTTCAATCTCAGCATAGGTTGAGATAATACCTTCAGATTTTTCAACCTGGTTTCCCCCTGTCAGTAATGCAGCTGAGAGGGGCTGTCATGGAAAAAGCGTCTAACCGTTCGACATGGGACGATAAACCGAGGCCCTTTGTTCTACTGGCTACGAAAAAGAATGGAATGAAAGTTTGGTCTAAATTTAATTAGTGTAACTGATCATATAGAACAGTGGTTCCAACCTTTTTTAGCCTTCACACACCTAGAGCAATCACCTGGACCTTTCACACCCCCAAAAATTTGTTTCATCCACATTTCCAGCATGTGATGATGTTAAGTACTCTCTCAATTCAAAATAAATTCTTATCCTACACCAGTTGACCCTGACACCCTAGTGCCACACCCCTGACACCTTAGTGCCACAGGTTTGGACCCTGACACCCTAGTCCCACACCCCTGACACCTTAGTGCCACAGGTTTGGACCCTGACATCCTAGTCCAACACCCCTAACACCTTAGTCCCACGGGTTTGGGCCCTGACACCCTAGTTCCACACCCCTGACACCTTAGTCCCATAGATTTGGAACTGGGGATATAGATACTTAAAGGATTGAAAAGTTTTTGTTTTTTTTTATTATCGTAAAAGCTACTTATAATATCTAAGGGCCTGTGCGATAGTGAAGTCATAAAACACTTAAAAAGATTTGATATTGTAATGGTGCATATCAATCAGTGTTCCCTATACATGTAGACAGTTTAGAAAAACATCTTTTCAATCCCTTCAGTAGTAGCAATCTTAAAATAGATTAGCTGCTTCAAGCACTTTATTAAACAGTTGTAAAAGATGTATTGATGTATTTGTAATTAGTGACAGTCTACTACTGAGCAAACAAATAGAAAAATAAGAACCAATATTGCACTAGAAAATCACCATTATAGGATTTCTATCAGTCTGGTAGTTGTTATTAATATTATGTTGTCATCTATCATACCTGTATTTTAATATTGACAAACATCTAAAACAGCCCTGATTAGTTTATGTTTAACTTCAGGGAGAGACCGTCAAATTCTGATTCTGAATATTCTAGAAATGGCTGACATCAGCATTATCAGTTCGTAATGACAATATTTGAACGACTATATGCAAATATTTAGATTAATAAATTCTTCTTGAATCTGGTTAGCACGTTGATTCTGTAATTGATGTTAGTTGCTTTGTTACGTAGAGCAAATTGTCATTTTGAGTTCCGATCTCGACTGGAAAGAGAAAGTTTAATGACAGTGAATAAGTCATCTTCACTCATGATTCCAGTCGACCCAGCTGTAAATGGGAACGGGTAATCTGGGAAAGATCAATGCCAAGAGGTTTGGTCAAGGACCAGCTGGTAGAAGGGATCCTTAGTGAACTTAAGATGTTATCCTTGTAAAATATTGTTGTTTCTTTCTATTCTATTTGAGATTAATCTATAAGTTATTTTGACTTAGTTGATATTCCAGTCTTCAACATATAATTCCATTTTCATATATTATTATTTTCGTATTCAAAAATTCTTTTTAATCAATATGTAAAAATATTCACTAATTGAATTTCCCTTTGAAGTAACTTCATTATGATGGAATTTGAGTAAAATCCATCCCACTGTTCTAAGGTGTTATAATTAGTTAGAGTTAGGTATGGTATTCTCAGAGGAGATATTATTATTTTATCAATATCTATTAATTATTTATATACCTTAATGGTACATTGTGTAGCCAACCAGTACATAGTATATATCTTATTATAAATAATATAGTCAAAATAATCAGGTAATTAAATCTACAAAGCATTGGCCTGTGAAGAAAAAATCTTAACATTGAATTTCAGGGCATTTTAATGGCCATACCCTCATTATTTTCAAACACCTTGTCCTGATGAGGAGTTTATATCTGAAACATGTTAGTAACATTGAATGAGCTCGATAATGAATTCATAGAATGTTTTTTTTCTTGTTCATACAAATGTTAATACTTTTTGCTTGAATTTTCCATGATGCTCTTTTGCAAATAAGAATTTAGCCGGAAGTCTTTTCATTCAATGAATTCTCTTGCTGTGGTGAAAGCCACACGCAATTCTAAAGAACATCTGATTTCCTACAGCCTAATAATATATAGCCTTGTAGAGTATGGTCTTCCAGTTTAGCACCTTTGACCATCAGTGTGCAATTATAAAATGGCGACCATCAATATTGGCTGGTAAACCTCTTTTGATAAATTCCTTGAATTTTTTGCCACTGTCTATAATGCACACCTCCAGTTTGACCAGCCCTTTTTAGTGTTAAAAAAAATGTGCATTATACATGCAAATATACAGTAAATATATATATGATGTTTTTGTATGTACCTGATCCTTAACTTTCACCAGATGTGTACAATGCATTGACAATACACAGTTTATCAGAACAAAAGAGTCTTCCTGATTCAGTATTAAAACTTTATCAGTTCTGGAAAACAACAGCTTATAATATTGGTGGACAAATATTCAAATTAGATGATATGGAACATGGCATTTTAAGAGGTAAGATGAATTGGCTGATATATGGAGAGGTCGCTAGCCTCTCATGGAGCGTCTGACAGTTTTATGTTGAAAAATTGAATTTTAAAAACTAACTTATACCTAGGGCTGGGTATAGATTACCAAATTGAGAGTGATTATCCATGGAAGACAAGCAATTAATAATTGATTAATAATCGAAATTATTTAATTAAGAAACCCTGTAAATACTCAATTAAAAACATGCTAAAATTCTTAATTTCATGGGTAATTTTGGCTTTATACATTCTTGCCATGATCAGTTATTATAGTTTATTGTGGGTTATGTGCTGAAGAGAAACTATGTAGAAGAGATTACTGGTTGTTAAGTGTAGAAAATGTAACATATGATTGATTATGAAATTTGATAATCGATAACCAAAATATTAATTTCCTAGTGATGATAATCGCTTATTTGGATCATTTTACCCATCTCTATTTATACCCCAAATATTTGTCTGTTTATTTTTAGGAAATAGATCCCACCCAGCATGTGAAAAACTTCATTTTAGTGAAAAAGACCCAAGATTAAAATTTGTGTGTAAAACTGTAGATCCTAGAATACATTTTGCATTAGTTTGTGGAGCTAAGGTAGTTCAAAATTTTCTTTTTACATTTTTAGTTTCTCTCCTTGGATGTGGGTGTGTTATCTTTGTGCTCAGCACTTTTACTAGATCTGATGCACAATACCATTATTAATGCCTATTTGTCAAAACCTTCTAAATTGCAAGCATTGATTGACTCAAATGGCTTTGAAGCTTTCAGGGCCACACATGGCCTTTCTCCTCTTAGGTCTGTGGTTCTTGTTATTCCGAAAAAATTTGACCAGGCTACCATTAAATTCAAAATAAATTGGCGATGTTGGTTCAAGTTGATATCACGATATTTAGCTTTGATATATCACGATATTTAGCTTTAATAAATCACAATATGGGTATATCGTGATATTTCTCAAGTACATCGTTTTTTTGGTCAGATGATTTTACTAACAATATAAATTCCTATACCAGTATTTTATATTGTGATACCAGTATTTCGCCCAACCCTAATCCTAAGGATCATTTTGAGTCAATTATCCCTATTTATTTTTTGTATCCAAAACGTTTGTATATGTTGATTGTTCTGAGCGCAAATTTGATATTCAAAATACTCATTTGTAATGGATATTTACCCTTTGATGAGCATCAAAAAAGATGTCATATATCCTTTAATCCTAGTTTCGTTTTGAAAAAGTCCATCCATGTTGAAGCGAAGACCATCACCAGTTGTGTCTTTTACATCAGGACTGTTATTTGGCTCTATTTCCAGACATTACTGGCAGGGCAACTCAAATGTCAGACAGAGAATCACAAAGTATAAGTTGGACATTGAGTATCAATCAATGTTTGGGTCATGTTAATTAAAATAACTACATTCACTTCAAGTCAAGTTTATGAAAAATGCTATGATATTTCAACAAAGCTTTTTAAATCACATGTAAAGCCATTTCTAAACCTTGAAATATTATAGCCTTTTTAAAGTTGAGGAAGAGATTCAAAATGGTTGTGGACTACTTTCGTTATTTCCATGAAAGAACCACATGCAGTTTCATATGTGACAAATCACTTATAAGATATAAAAATCAAGCACTTTAGGGTAATTGTAAAGTGTACATAACAATGGATGTTTTTCAATATTTTTCAGTCATGTCCGGCTATTAATGTGTATACACCAGAAAATGTAGATCATGCTTTAACAGAAGCCACTAAAAGTTTTTGTCGTCAAGAAGTGTCTATGTTTACAGAAGTTGATGAGATTTGGTTGTCTAAGATATTTCAGTGGTATCGTCAAGATTTTGGAACCACTGATACTGATGTTATAAGGTTAGATTGTGATACTCATTTTGCTTGTTCAGGAGTGGGGAGCTGTGGTGGCTCAGTGAGTTAAATTCTTGCTTCCTTAGGATTCAATCCATGCATAGGCCTATGTCAGAGTTTGGGGGACTGACATGGAAATGTGTCAATGTGCCATAGGCTTTGCAAGATGGTTGAAAAATCAAAAACAGGCAGACTAATCCCTGCTATTTTGGCAAGCACTTAATTGATAGTCAAATATTCACAAAATTGCTTGATAAGAGTAATTATTGATCATACCCACTTACCAGATGCCAAGAATAGAATCTCTATATAATATCCATTAAACTAAATAATTATTGAAACTTCTAAATGAATGCTTCTAAGCATGTTTGAAAATAACTTAGTTTAATGAATAATTACTTAGTTTTATAGATTTATTAGATTATAGAGGGATTCTGTTGTATAGTTATTCCACTGATAAATAAAGACTCATTTTGGCCAAGTTAAAAAATAAAAATTACTAAGAGGTAGTATACCTTTGGTAAAGTGATTACTGCTCATCAAAGCTCAGTCTAGGTTTCAGGAATAAAGGAAAAGTGATTTTTTTTCAGGTGGATCATACCATATTTAGATCAAGAACAACAAGATAGAGCCAATCTCTTACTGTTAAAGTTAGAAAAATTTGGAAAAGTAGATATCAAATATAATGAATATGATTGGTCATTGAATAAATTGGACAATCAGAAACAAATACCAGTACCGAAACTAATTTCAGACCAGACTGCTTCTAAATGATTCAACATATTTTACTGCCATAATAATATATGTATGTAATTTATTGTGTGCTTTTTGAATAATATAATAATAAGTCGTTATGTTAATTATTGCTCTAAGAGCTATATAGACTAATTTGGCGCCATGAAAACATCTTTTTAGCCATTTGCAGGATATACCAGTTGTCTGAAGTTTCTGAAACATGATATTTCCAAAATAGGAAATTTTAATTGTCTACACAATCATGTTTTTGATACCATGCTAGTCTGACATGATAGACAGTTTATCAGTGGCATTATGTTAGATGGAGGGTGGGGAGGTAGGCAGGGGGGGACAGAATTGTTATAGGAGGCTCACAGCACCATGCATTTAAGAAGCCAATCTAATGTAAATTAGATTTCAATTTCGATTTGTTATTATTTTTCTTTTGTCAGTCTCCATTGTAATCTAACAAAATTTATACCAAGGTCTTTTACTGGTGATGATTCAAGCTATAGCAGACAATCATATGCCACTCTCTCGCTAATCAAAATCAAATATCACTCTACTTTGAATTTCACTATCCCACAATTCAAAGTTGATATTGTGACACAGATTCTGCATGACACACTATGATTGGTTGAAATGAATGTCAAGAGTACGCAACCTTGGTAAAATGCTTTAAGATTACAATGGAACTGAAAGTGGACTTTCTGGAGTCTTATACCTCCTCGCTGAGCCGTTACCTGGTTTGTATATGTAAGCTATAAGATTAGTACACTGTACGATAATTGCACCTATTACACTTGATACATTTCACTTAAATATTAACTTGCTTGCTGTGCTCCACTACTGTTCTTAAAATTATTTGAAATTTATGAAATGCATTTAATAGTCATGGCCATTTAGAAATATGTCAAGGTTAGACCACATATAGCTGATATATTCTTGTTAATATGGCAATGGTATGCTTTTGTTTGTTACAATGAAGATGTTACGTAGATTAGTTATATATAACCTGTGATTACTAAGTAAAATGGTTTTAAAGGAATACTACCTCTTAGAATGGACATAAAATGTAAAGTTTCAAACATGGTCAACAAGTGTATATATTTATTAGTTAGGCTTACGATATATCCATTAAACTAAATAATTGTTGAAAAACGCTTCTGAGCCTGTTTGAAAATAACTTAGTTTAATGGATTATTACTTAGTTTTATAGATTTATTAGATTATAGAGGGATTCTGTTGTATAGTTATAACACCAAGAAAGTCCACTGATAAACATAGGCGCCTTTTGGCCAATTTTGAAAATTTCAATTTTTTGATTATTCTAAGAGATAGTATATGTTTAAGGATTATTTTTTTTTAGAATATTGTAGCTTATTCTATGCAATACTGTTTCATTTTATGTTAATTTCAAGTATGTGTAATAATTCAATTACTTATTTACCATACATTGGTTGGAAGAACAATTTAAAACTAAGGATCAAATTAGTTTTTTTTTTCAATTATTTTGAAATTCATGCGTATAGGAGTAGGATAGTCTATAGTATAGACGTTCAATAAAACAAATAGGGACAGAGGTCAGAATGCGTTCCAGATGTGCTGAAAAAATAGTAGGCCTAGGTGCAGGCAGAATTCAAAATGGCTGAAAAGGAAATTTTGAATGGGACATATTCCACTTCTGAACTATTTGATTAAAGCCAGAATTAGAGCAGAATTAGGGCCAATCAAACACTACCTAAGATATTCTTTGTAAGACTACCTAAGATTACAACAAAGATTTTGTTAAATTTTGATACGTTTTGTATATTATGATATTCTTGTTGCTTATGATATTGTTAAAATTACTTTTTGTTAAGTTCCAAATTTTTCTAACTTTTTGATCTGTGATAAATTTTCCTAGAAGATGTAGGGTGTTTAAAGTAAATCTTGTAACATTTAGTGTAGAAAATGGAATTGTGTCATGGTAGTTATTAACTGCTAGACATTCAAGTTGGAACGATTTATATATCAATCAAGTATCTGTATATCAGTCTAAAATCAAAGTAACATCTGAACAATATGAAAATTTAATGCCAATGAAACAAGAATGTTTTTGTGAATCTTTAAACTTGCAGCCTGATACATAATGACAAACTTTTGGAAACTAAATTGTCCTCCTTTTTTGACTGCAACTGTTCAGTATCTTGATTGCACAAGGTAAATCTATATAATGTATGGATACTAATATAACTGTTTCCCTACTGACATGTTTGGTACCTATAATTTCTTTAAGCTTGACAAGATTAATGATATGACACTATCTGAATAGTATCTGAAGCTAGTGCTGGGTATCGTCAATCATGCCACGATACGATAGATACATGTATCGCGATATGGGGTAATAGCCATTAGGATAAAAAATAACATTTTATCTTCAAGGTTTCTATATATATAACTTTATAACTGTGATATTTGGTAATATAGTTGATAGAAGTGGTTAGCGTCCATTGTCTTCTAAAAAGTTTCTAACAATTTCAGTGAAAAAAATTTGTTATATCATAAAACAACTTAGAAAATCCCCATTTTTTTATGGAATAATAGGTATCTCCAAGTATCGATACCTGATGTTGCGATACGATACGCGTATCATGGCATGTCATATCGTGATACATCGATTCACCGATATATCGAGCCAGCACTAATCTGAAATCTGCTATTTTGGTTTTTGGAACTAGATTTACAGGATACACAGATTAAAGCAACAAAGATATGAAATTGTCTTTTGTATTCCTCTAGGAAAGTTTTTGATTATTGATGATGTATTTTTGGTATTAATTTATAATACTGGTGGTATGTGTTGTGTTATAATAATTTTAGTATATGTATATATAATACTTATATAATAATAATTATACTTCTTAATACCTATTTTTATAGTTAGTACGGTAATTAGTGGATTAGAAAAATCATAAATACTGATTCAAAAGAGGTTTATAACCTGTGAAGATGTAAAATTTAGTATATTTGTACTATTAACATCATAATTTGGTCGATTGTTTAAAATGGTGCAAATAGAAGCAAAATATGTCACATACAAAGGCAAAAAAAATCACCTTAGAATATCTTTAAAGAGACAGTATGCAAATTTTATATTTTTAAAGACTTTGTCACCTATATTAAACTTCAAAGCAATTTTTAGAAATCAATTCTTGTATTATTTTCTCTTTTTTTAAATAATAAAAATTTTGCATACTTTCCCTTTAACGTGCATCTTTCACTGGTGGAAACTGACTGAACTCTATTTTAAAAACTTATGTCAGCATAGTCCATATGAGTTTCTTAAAGGGTTTATAAAAATGTTTTTCTAAACTTTGATGAAAGCATCAATTTGCACCATTCTAATTTTCAATCAGTGTGATTCCTGCAATTCTACTAAAACTAAGTGTTTGATGGCGTCACTATTTGCAAAATATGCTGTATCACACAAGGCTCTTTGCGATTAGTGTCTTCATCAAACACTTAGTGTCTTCACCAAACACTTAGTTTTAATTGAATTGCAGGAACCACATACGTCTGACAGAAAATTGGTATGGTGCAAATTAATGCTATCATTGTCCCTGATACACATAAAACAATTAGAAAACCTCTTTACAATCTCTTGAAACTATAGAATTAGGCTACACATTTCAGTCATATTTATTCCTTATGTCTTATTTTATTATTAGAAATATATCAATATTTATGATTAGATTTTCTAGAATATATTCAATAATAATTGTATATTAAAGATATTTGCCACTCTTTAACTTTCGTGATTTCAAGCAGACAGATAAAAGATCTTTTATTTTTGTGGCCATACATGGAATTATTTGTTTAGTTATTACTTCTGATCATACCTCTTATGCTGTAATTATCTATGTATAAAACAGCAGAAAGGACTCGTACTAAATTTTTCTGATTTTAAATAGGATTCATCCATGGGTTTGTTTGCTGACAATAGCAGTCAATATTTAACAATCAATGTGCACAAATTCTATCAATAGATCATTGGATTGGTTTAAAATTTAAATAACAAAGAACTTGTGTTGGATAACAAGCTTTTCAGATCAGGAACATTGAATGGATACATCTGGATCTGTATTTAGAGATTCAGAACAGAATTGAAACAATGAAATAAGATGCAGGAATGGATTAGCATAATTTTATTTCATTAGATTTCATATTTAATAATAATAATAATAGCTAACTCTGTAAAACAATGATTGAAGCAGTCATATTATCGCCATGACAACCTTCCTTTTTTAACATGTTAACTGCCAACTATCTGTTACTCTATATATGGCACAAATTTCAATAAATCTTTACCTGATAATCAAGGCTTGACTTTGTCAGGAAAGCACTCAAATTCAATCTAATTCATATAAGATCATTTTTGTTGTTTTTTTCTTCTGATATTTTCGTCTCTATTGTAATCTAACAAGCTTTCTACCAGTCTTGTTCTACTTCTTATGTCTATGATGATTTAATCAAAATCAATGAACGTGTGTCATGTAGGTCCTCATAACAATGAGATATTGTTGGATAGCCAAACCCAAAGTAGAGTTAATGGTTTTCTTATCCCCACAAGATTGTGAAATTGTAAGATTGCAATGGAGATAAAATTATCACAAAGAAAGAAACAAAATAGTAATGAAAATTTAATGAATTTCACTGTCCTATTCATTCTCGAAATTTCTTGCAAAATTATTCTGTTACCAAAAAAGAAATTCTGGAAGATCTACTGTCTATATTTTTGTCAGTTAATCAAATTTTCAAGCAACATATTCCAAATTTTGACTGAAAATTCATCTTTCAAAACAAATTTAAAAAATATAACCGCTTTCACTTTTATGAAGCCCATATTCCAATTCATGACAAAATAACGGGTAAAATTTGGTTTACATGTAATTTATGAGTCTTATAAAGCTAAGCAGTTAACATGTTAATAATAATTCTTATTAATAATGTACAATATTTAAACAATGAAATCACATAGGTTAAGTATATGCCATATAGAATACACAATCTTTTAAATCAAATTCCCAACTAGCAGCCCAATATTACCAGCATTCAAAAATTATTAATTAAACACTTGGGATTTAGTTGGCTAAATATTTGCTTTACCAGCTGATAGAACTGTCATGTTGGGAATTGTTTTACTTGTTCTAGTCTTCAATGTGGAATCAGGCCTCAAAGAATGTGTCACCATTTAGGCAGAAACAGATATCCTTCTAAATATTTATATTTGCTTTCCTAGCTGATATAGCGCAATTTATATTGTCCATAGTACTTTTTAAAATGAAAGTTTGACACCTGGTTTGAATATTTGATCAATATTGTCTTCAAAAATATTTTGTTATCAGCCTTAGATTTAAACAATCAATAATAATTACATTTGAGAATCAACAGAACAGCACTAAACTTAAACATTTTCTGAAATTACAGACAAACCAAACATCAAATTATCATTTTAAAAAGTGATATGGACAGGTCAAACAGAGTTTTATCAGCTTAGAAAACAAATGGTTAGACAACTATATCCATTTAAAGAAATAAACAAAAAATAACAAGCGAAATGATCATACACCCTTCACACATATATTACTACTAATTTAATATCTTAACACTCAAATCAATTGAGCTACAACCCTTCCCCTTTCATCTTAATTTATGAAGGTTGATGCAGTCATTGATGTTCATTCCCACCTTAAAAACAAGGAAAACAGGAATTTATAACTCCTTTATGCTTTCTTGTCTTCAGTAAATTTTACTACTTAGATATGATGAAAAAGCGGCAGTAAATTTAATTGAAAATAAATCCATCTGCTTTTTGAAAAAGAAATGAATTTTATAAAACAAGAATTACTGACATTAAAGGAACAAGTTCGCCATTTTGGAGGACTGATTTGATTTGGTCTTAAATATTTGTAAATAGTCTTGAAAGTACTATAAGTGTACGAAAACAGCACAATTCCTTCAAAAATATCTCAAACTAGAAATTTAATTTTTTAATTCTTTTCTATATATAGTCATTACTTTCAAGATAATTCTGGACACACATGGAAATGAGAATTCAAATTTGGATTGTGAGCTGTGAACACTATCACTGTATCACAAATGGCCGTTTCTGAGACAAAGATACGATTGGTAAAACTGATGGTGAATCTGTCCCTTTAATGAAAAAAACAAAATAGACTTCACAATATTATTGTGGCAAAACCCAACATCTTTTTTAAATAATGCAGAAATGCTGTCACACACACAGTCCCTTTAATATGGCAATTCACATAGATCATTTTCACTCAACAAAATCTGGTTCAGAACTAAATCTGTAATCAGCTTATTGGTTCAAGGGTAAGAGATAAAAGACTCCTACCACCTTTGACAGAGCAAATCCTTCTTTTTCTTTCCTTTCAATTATTAGTGTTCATCAGTAAAAATGAAAAAATAAAAAATAGCAAACATTGTGGTATAGAATTATTTAGTATATCAATATCAGTATTAGTTGCATTGATGAAAAAAACCCTTATAGACCTTATTCACACCTCGTATTTGAGACACTGAAAGCGAGGTTCATAACGCAAATCATCAATTAATAAGATGACAACATCATATGAAGGTATAGTCTATGTGACGTCACTAAATACCTGATCAACAGCGAGAAATCAGGCTTATAACTATGAAATATGTGAAGGTAAAATTATACTGAAAGCATCATTAAATAGCTTAATCAATTCTGATTTTAATGAGCTAGTGAGGTTGTCATTTTACTGCAATGACACGCTGTTACCTTCATTTGCATTATGAGCCTCGTTCTGAATTCAATATGGCCAACATATGAATAAGGTCTATTACATGTAACAAATTCAAACTCATAATATAAATTCAAAATATCCTAATAAGATTTAAATCAGAAAACTTTCTTGCCAATTAATGACAATCTCCATTCATGACACATATAGTTAAATAAAATTAAAATACAATTCAGTTTTTAGTTGTTTTTTGATAATTTTCGTCCCCATTGAAATCTGACAAGTTTTCTACCACAGTCCCATTCCTATACATTATTTTCTAACCAATGAAAGCATGTCATGAAGAGCTTGCCTCCTGATAACAGTGACCAATTACTGGGTTTAAATGAACACACTACATATGCACTATATTATCCTATCCCAAATTAAAATTAAACGTGTTATGTCAAAATTGTCCCCTAGTGTGCACAATATTCTTAGTTTGGCTATAATTGGGCCTTAATTCAGCTCCCTGTAGTACTTCTTAAAATGATAATCTGGTGTTTCACCATAATTAAATATAACCTATTGATGCATGGACATCAAATTTGTTACATATAATGTTTTAATCGAATTAAAGACAAACCTGATGTCTGATTCTGAAAAGTACTACAGGTATCTGAAACAGCTCTCGTGTGTGATTCAAATAACAAAATTAAGATGACTTTATTCTATAAGGGATACAGTTGAAAAATATTTCCTTTACCAGTTGATAAAGCTCAATTTTAACCATCAATATCACTTTTCAGAAGTAAAATCTGATGCCTGGTTCTCCTACAGTTCAACATAAATATACTGTTGTCATTTTGTAACCTTATAATTCTCAGTATTTTACCAATACTATTCTTAATTGAAAGTGAAATGAAAGTGGAAATCTAAACATTTTTGCCAAATTGTAGGAGAACTAAAAGTCAAATATCCATTTTGAAATGTTCTATTGGGAGCTGGAACTAAGGTCTATCAGCTGGTAAAGCAAATATGAAGATCAAGTCCCTTTCAGAGTAATTAAAAAAAACAATTAGCATCACATCCATTATTATAACTGTGCATGACATTGGCTACAAATGGGTTAATGCAAAGATAACTAAGTTTGCCAATATGATGCCCAATGTAACTTAATGAAACATAAAATTGTCAGGTCATCTCCAAGCATTTCCTTCCGAAAAATATCTTGTTGAAGTCCTTTCGTCAGTTCTGAAGAAAACAGCACTATATTCAACACGTAGAGCAGGGCATGATTACTTTGACACCAGGCACCAACAAGAAATCTTTAACACAAATAACAGAAAACATGGTACTTCACACGAAAACAAAAAGGAAAACAAAGCACTCAAAGGGAGATAATATATTAATTCTTTAACACAATTTGTCTCCCTTTACAAGAAAGGAGAAATCACACCTTAATGGATTTGGTTTGTGTTTTCAGTCAAAATGTATTTAATATGGTTTTCACAGTAAATCACATTTCAGCAATATGGCCCTTGTAATTTAAGATACTGAAAAATAAAGAGAGAAAAATTATTTGTTTCTTCTTGTGTAAAATTTTGAGAGGAAAATGAATCTGATTTGAGGATAATGCTTTGTCTTGCAGACGACAAAACAATCGAGACATTGTTTCATATTCTGCTTCCACTGTTCAATTATTTTGATATTAAAAATCCTTTCAGCATCACAATAACCTTATCCTAGAAAGCACCGGCTCATGAGAGATTTTACTCAAGATTCGTGATGTAGACAAAATTGGGTGTAGACAGAATTCAAAATGGCGGAGAAGAAAATAAATGGGAAAATTCTGAATGTGACATATTCCGATTTCAAACCGTTCGATTGTGGGCAGATCAGAACAGACGGAACCTGTTTTGAACTCTCTAATCGAGCCACCCAATAAAATAATAAAATCTTGACGCTTACCTGTATGACTAATGAAGGACCTCTAGCAACTATTTCAGCAGGTATCTGGCTTAAGGGACAATTTTCTATGCTCATGATTTGTAAATTACTACAATAAGCTAATTCATAGGGTAAACTATGTAATTCTGGATTATCATTTATATACAGATTTTCTAGGCTCTCTAAATTACCTACAAAATACATAAACAATGTAATAAAGATCTTATTTTTTTAAATATCTACTTTCTGAGCTATATGTATCCCTTATCAAAATTAAAAATTCACAAGCAAACTATGATAAAAGAGAAAAACTTTTTTTATGAGCAGACCAAACTTTCATTTAGTTTTTTTTATTTGTTTTTATCTTAAGTAAAGCCACTTCACAACAGGAGTCTTGAAAATTCGTCAAATTAACCTTTTGACCTAATCTGCTTTAGCCTATCAAATTTACACCTCCAGTTTTGGCGTTTTGCAATGTGATTAAAAGGTGTAACTACGGGAGCAATAGACTAGTTTATCAAGTCCACTGAAAGTGAACATTTACAGTTTTACAACTGTTGTGATACAAGAATAGTGCCAATGGCTGTCAAGGTATTAGACACAGTTCGTTATAGCTTGGCATCGTGAAGATGAGCTTTGGAAATGCACAGAATATTTCTAATTTTGGTACACTAATACACTGTCCAAAATACATTTAAAAAACTCAGATACCTACCGACATCAGATGGTAAAGATGTTAAATTATTTTCACCAACACCTAAATACTGTAAATTTTTTAAGAACCTAAAATAAAGTAAATTTCGAATCTTTTGAAATATTTTAAAACCAGTTATCAATTATTGGGTTATTCATTGTTTCATGAGAAAAGTGATATAAATGAATTGATATCTATCATAGTACTACAGTGTTATCATAAAGGAAGTAATATGAGACTTGCTGACCCACAACAAAATTATTAATTTCACGTGAACTGTCTTACCCTAATTGTCGTGGTAACATTGTCAATTGATTAGACTGTACAACCAGTTTCTGTAATTCATGTAACTGACCTGTAAATATTCACAATAGACAGTCAGACACACTTATCAAAAATGAAATGGATTTTTACATCCTGCTTTTCTGCACCTAATTTGGACAACAAAGACAGGCCACACCATGCACCAACTTTTTTCAATTTCCATCTGTCTATGGATCTGGAACATAAACAGCCTGTAGAACATGCAACCTTCACTTATTGTATATCCAAACGATTAAAGGGAAACTGGGGTGTGGAAATGAGATTGGTGGCATTTAGATCTAAGGTCAAGTAAACAAAACACAACATCGCTTTGACACCGTCCGTTTGAAGAAATATGAACACATTCTTTTCAAGTTAATCTTCCAAAGTAGGCTTCAATTCTTTAACGAAAATCTTACTCAATTCTGTACCATACATATTCATCAAAATATGTAATGGCATGCTTTCGTTTTGTCTACAATCGCAAACAAAGCGCCATAACGATTGATTTGTTACTGAAAAAGTGAAATTTGCTACAAATACAGTAGGGCCAATTTTGATTAGACAATATTCAGCTATGTATATGGAATTTTTCTCACTTGTGTTACCACGGCCCCAAGGAAGTATGAAATGGGGGTGTGGTTTGGACAATGGACAATCCTGGCTTGTTTGGTTTCAATTTCCATTTATTTTACCCCAAAATATAATGAACTGATAATTTTTATGTTTTAAATTTACCAGGATGATCAATAATATTTTGACTCAACTGTTTTATCCTACATTGTTAAATATAGATTAAATTCTTCAGTAATGATCTTACCTATTTCTGGTGGTAAGGTCTCCAGTCTGTTCTCTTCTAAATCTAGTGTTCTTAAATTCTTTAAATTACCAATACTAGCTGGTAACCTCTATAATAAAACACATACAAACATCAATAGCTGATCAAATTCATCATGCCAGGCTAGGTAATATACACCCACTGGCAGCTTTGATTTTGATTAAAAATATTTGGCAGTACAGTAACAATCACCAGTATGAAATATTCAACCTTCAGTCATACACTTCTTTTGAACTTTTTGGGAGATAATGAACAATATTAGTTTTGTCAAAATCCGACAAGAATTTCCGGATGAACGGAAAATTTTCTTTGATTAGCTACTTACCCTCAAATTATTATTACTTAATATTAAAACTTCTAATTTTTCTAATTTCTCAATATCATCTGGTATTACTGTCAGTTGATTTGTACCCAGATTTAACTCCACCATATTTGTCCAAGTTCCTAAATCTAAAAATAGAATAACTTGGTAATCAGACAGAATTTCATTTTCCAGATGACGTTGCCAAATATTTCAAGACATTCAAAAGAGGTAACCAATTTTCTTATTGCATGTAACCAATGTTCCATTTTGTCAATTGACCACGAGGCAAAATTGCTTGTGATCAATTTTTTGTTTGACCAAAATGCTTATGACTAATTTTCTGTGTAAAAAAATTGCTTGTGATCAATTTCTGTGACCAAATTGCTTGTGATCAATTTCTGTGACCAAATTTTTGTGATAAATTTCTGTGTGACAAATTTGTTTGTGACAAATTTTATGAGTGATGAAATTGATTGTTACCAAATTGCTTAAGACCAATTATATGTGTTACAAATTTGCATGTGACCAGAAAGCATGTGACTGTGACCGATTTTCCATTTAAAAAATTTCTATACCAAGTGACAAAATTGCCAGTGACCAATTTATAATATGATGAGAAAACAGTGACTGAGAATATCAAAATGACAGGAAAAATGTTAACTTACCAAGAGGAAGTGACGTTAATTGGTTATCTTTCATATTTAGTTTAGTTAAACAGTTAGCTCTCATAAAGATACCAAAAGGTATGTGATTCACTTGATTATGTTCAATGTTTATAGCCTTGAAAAAAAACCAGAATTTTTAAATAAACATGAAACCAAGTTTATTTGTTTTTAAATTTCAGATGGTGCAAAACATAGCATCCATTTCTTTTCAATATGTTAACAATTCTTTTGAGTTCTACACAATTCCAATTCTCATAAAAATAATGAGAAAATTCAAAAAACTTTTTACTTTGCTCAGACAATAATCACCTATTCTCTCTAGTGGCAATAAAGCCAATAATGATTTGATGCATGTTTCAGATACAAAATCCTCATCAGGACAGAATGTTTTGGACTGTAGCTCAACTTTCCTATTTAGTAATAAAGGCATATTACCAAAAAAAACTAAATATACTTACATAAACAGAACAGAATTGTGAAGGACCACCAGATGGATAAGATTGGAAAGCATTACGTGATAATGTTATACTTGTTAAATTAACTAGACTTGATAATAGACCTTCCTGTAATGTTAAAAATAAAATAAATTAGATTATGGTTCCTTCAATACCTGCAGAAGAAATTACCCGATATCCACATCCAGAATATTTACCATGTAAAATTACCCGTTAATCCAGTGATTCGGTTTCCGGTTCTGCACGGCTGAGATTGGGAACTTATTACGATTTTACTGGGATTGAAAATGTGCAGGTAAACGAGGCTCCACTCTATCTTGATGATCATGAAAACTTACCGGTAATTGAGATATGTTATTACCCTCCACATTGAATTCATCCATATTAACACAATTAGCTAGAGACCTTGGAATACTACTTAAACGATTATACCTACAAAACATAATTTGTAAACACTTTAAGGGATTGTAAAGTGGTTTTCATAAATTTACATGTGTGTCTGGGACATTGATTCCATCAATTTGCACAAGTCCAATTTTCAATAAGATGTCTGTGGTTCTTGCAATTCCACTAAAACTAAGTGTTTGATGAAGTCACTTATCCTGAAGGGCCTTATGTGATAAAGCTATTTTGGAATTAGTGGCGACATCAAACACTTAGTTTGTATTATTGTATTATACCTAACATTTGATTGTAGATTGTAAATGACTTGGCATCATTATAAATATTCATGACATATTCTCAATACAAAATAAACTTGCCACAGTGTAACATGATAGAAATATCTTTGGACAGGTTAAAGAGATGATAAACAGTGGCAAATAAGTTGGAAGTTTACCTTAAACCAAGCCTAGTTATTTGACGTAAATTTCCAATGGATTCTGGGATATCTAATAATTCATTATGTTGAAGATCTAAGGAGTTTAAATTCACACAGTTCCCAATTTCTGAAAGAGAATAATCATAAATATGGATTAAAAATAACTAACCTTTCTGAATATCCTGATGCCAATACACATCTGGGTTTGTCAACTCAGATTTTTATTTCAATTACTAGAATCAATTAAACAAAATAACAAAAAAAATTCATCGTTAAAAAAGTGCTCAATACATCAATTGTAAAGAGATAGAGAAATATCAGTTGTAAAGTTCGCACAAGATAAAGCTGTGAGTACATGTTTAAGGTTCTGTTTTATTTCTATATTTAGAACTAACTTACCATCAGGAAGATGTTCCAGGTGATTATGGGATACATCAAAAGTTAAAAGGTTAATTAATTTACCAATCCCAGTTGGTAATTCTTTTATCTTATTTTCACGTAAACTAAATTTGGTTAATTTCTGAAATGATATAAATAAATATTGAAAGTTCAAGCTTCCATAAAATATTTGTTTTCAATTTCATGTTTTGTGCTGGTTTCAAAATGTTTCTGCATATTTTTGACTTTGTTCTTAATATAGAAGGAAGAATTTCTTCTTTTGGGGAATTATGAGCTTATTTTTAAGAAATTCTGTTGTTTTCATATTGTGGACCCTAAATTTTTGGCAGTAAAAAAGCTGCCCAAATTTACAAGTTGATAGAGCTTATTTCACCTATAGCAATATTTCAGAATTTAAATCCCCCATAAAAAAAAAATGTATCAAAAATATAAAAAAATATTGAGGAAATTTAGATTGTTGTCACTTTAAATAATATTCTTATGTTTATTTTTTTTTTTTGTCGGTTTTATCCTTGTCATCCATGATCCGAAAAGATTTCTGTTTGTGAAACTTACACAAAATAGCATAAGTTTTGTCTTATTAATTCTCTGCTAACCAATCAAAAACACTGTTAAAAATGTAAAGACAATACAAGTGAATGTTTAACAATGAATATACCTTAATTACACACATAGTAAGGAAATTGAACAGAGCGTTTGATTGGTTGCTAGTTAAACCTAGAACAGGAGATGCATAACAGATCATGGATGTCACCCAAAAAAAGGAAATGCAAATTTGAGTTGAGCTTCTATTAGAGAATATGATAGACTCTACCCAATTTAATTGTAATAAGATTACAATTTCGTTTGTAATTATTTTTGTCGTTTTCCATTGTAATCTAAAAAGATTTATACCAAGGGCGTGTATTGTTGATGTTTATTTCAATCAATCACAGTGCATCATTCACAATCTGTGTCTAAATATCAACTATGAATTATGGGATAGTGAAACCCAAAGTAGAGCGATATGACCAATGCCATTTTGAGACTGCTGATACTTGTTTGTAACGGTGATTCTGATTGGTGAGAGAGCTATAATTAGCTTGTTCAACGTCACCTGTTCCTAGCCTTGGTATAAATTTCATTAGATTACAATGGAGACCGAGAAGAAAAATTAATAACAAAACTAAATTGTTGTCAAATTTCAATTAGACTCTATCACAATAATGACAAGATACATACAGTTAAGTTACATATTTCTTCTTCTACAAGTTTAATTCTGTTGAATCGAAGAAATAATGTTGTTAAAGAGGTTAGGTGATAAACAACAGGTGGTATCTGAAATATACAAGTAAATATAGCGCTGGTGATGCAGTCTCCATTCAAAACTATAGCACAGTCGGTAAGAGCGTTGGTATTTTACATGACGTCCTTTGCTTGGTTATGTTGAGCGAATGGCCACTGTGGGTTTCCGATCTCGATCGGCGTGTGAAAGTCCAATGACCTTGTATAAGTCATCTTCACTCATAATTCCAGTCAACCCAGCTGTAAATGTGTACAGATAATCCGGGAAAGATCAATGCCAAGAGGTTTGGCCAAGGACCAGCTGATAGAAAGGATTCTTAACTGCGAATCTAAGTTGTTATCCTTGTAAAATATAGTTGTTTCTTTCTTTTTTTATTTTTAAAATAATAAATGCTGCCATAAAGTTCACAAAGAAAGTGGTTTAAGTGTATAAAAACATCACCCAAAAGTTCAGATGTTGCAAAATTGCGTACTGAAAGAAAATATTTTGAACTCTATGTCAGATTAATGATCAATACTGAAAATAGTAGACATCAAAGAAGGCATCAAAAAGATTGTAGAGATTTGAAAATTTGAAAGGTGCAAATCGATGCTATCAGTGTCACTGATGCACATAAAAAGTTAAGAAAACCTCTTTAAGATCACATTAAAGGGGAACAGTTAAGGTTGATTTAGGTCTTGAATATAAGTAAAAAGCCTTCAGAAGTACAAGTAGTGCACGAAAACACATCATCCTTTTAAATAAACTAGACTGTACTTTACTATATGTCATAGTCTCAAGATAAGACAAGGTGTTATCTTACCTTTAAACACAGATAACTCTGAACACATATGAATTCGAAGGAATTCCAGGGTGGGATATGAACACTATTACTTATTAGCTTAGATAAACAAAATTCTGTTTCTGAGACTAAGGTATGATTGGTCAAACAGATGGCAAACATGTCTCTTTAATAGGTTATAAATAATGAAACTTGACATCAAATACCATCTTTTATACCCAACCTTTCACCAGAGGAAGCAACAAATTACAAATGGTGGAAGACAGTTAGATTAATGACAATATGACCTCTTCATAAGATTTGTGACCTCATAATCTTAGAAACCACATAACAAGTGTGTATGATGATATTAGGAAAAACATGAAAAAAACTTCTAAATTTAATAAGTTATATCGCACATGTAACTAAAGATAATCATGGACCAAAAAACTGAACCAATAGACAATAAATAAAAAGAAAACTTACCTCTTGTAGTTTATTATGACGTAGATCAAGGACCCGTAAAACAGTAAGATTTTTTAAGGATTCAGGTAAACTGGTAATAGAATTTTCACTTAAAGCAAGTGTTAGTAAGTTTTTGAGGTTTCCTATTTCCACTGGTAATGACGTAAGACGATTTCCATATAAATAAAACTCTGTTAATTGTGTTAGTTCCTTCACTGAACTATTGAGCGTAGATATCTAAAAATAAAAAAGTAAAATATTAAAATATTTTCACTGTTCAAATAGAGCTCAGTACATCAATTGTATAGTTATATAGAAACATTAAAACAGAACCTGAATCATGTTGTTACTCAGACAAATGATCTGAAGATTGCATAGCGAGAAACAACATGATACAAGTTCTACAAAAAAAAATACGGATGTGAAACCCAACATAATATAATATGTTTTAATCATTAATTTTACTTTCCATGAAAGGTATCAATTACCAAATTGAGATTAAGAAATCTTCGACATACTAAATAAAAATCATGTACAAATTTATAATTCCATTGTGTCATATGTATTTCATTGCTTTGATCAGTTATTATAGTTTATTGTGGGTAAGTTATATGCTGAAGGAAAACTATGTTCAAGAAATTATGACTTGGTAGCACGGGAGAAAATAGATTGTTGATATTTGACATTATGATCAATAATCAAAATTATAAATTCCTATCAAGAAAAATCTATTATTTCAATTATTTCACCCAGTCCTAATCATAAAATCTCCTTTATTAAACAGCAGACAACTTTAAATTTCAAAATCGTATCTTACTTGTGATTTGCTGAGATCCAACCGTTCAGCCCCCTCTTCTTTACATTTTTTAAATTCCTTTGTAACATCTAGATCAGCCTTGACCGACTGTCTTCCTGGTACAGTTTGTTTTGCTTTATTATGACCTGGTACCGTCACTGTCACTTGTTTCTTAGAATTGGATGCATCCACTTGGATTGAACCTTGGCTAGCTTTCTTTGGCTGTAAATAAGGAAAAATACACAAAATTATGTTTTCTCAGTGTATTGACTTGCGTTTTCAATTAGTTTACATAGTGGTAAACTTAGAAATATTCATACAGAGCTTAAAAAAAAACATGTTGTTAGGTGGCCTAGGTCACAAAGTAAAGATTTATGCTAAAAACAAGGTGTAAAAGTTAAGAAAATTAGAAAGTTAATTATAAATGGCTAAGATATCATTTCTCGTGGTAAAATTTCTGAAAATAATTGAGCGAAAATAAATTTGACTCAGACTGAGCACTATTTTAACAGTGAAAATATCTTATCATTGTATTAGTAACCTTATACCAAAGAATTGTATTCCATTATCGTATGTATCTCTACTCCAAGATATCATTTTAATTAGGATAATCAATCAGATTTGCTTTAAATAGTAATCTTTCATGATTCACCCCAAGTATGGAAAATAGATTAAAAAAGTTAACTGTATCCCATCTAGGCTTCACTGAATTTTGTAGCTTTGACAGTTTTAAAACTCCAAGCAATAACTACAAAGTAAATGTATTCAACATGAAAAAATCACAAAATAAGCTTTGGCACAAATCGATAAAAAAAAATTGCTCTTCGTGTACAAAAGTTCATAAGCTAAAAATTTATTTCATGCACATGCATGCAATGGAATTTGAAAAAGGATGAATTCCATAAGAAGGAATACTTACTTTTTCTTTCAAACTCAGAGCTTCTAAACCTTGTTGATAGTCTTCATCTGGTGGTAAACGAACTGTATCTTGATCCGGTGATTCTGACCCGGAAGGACAATTCGTGTTAGAATTCGCAATAGGTACGACACTCCTTCCCGTGTAATCAGCCAATCTTTCAGCCGCTGCAGAATTGTCTCTTGGCTTAGGTTTCCGAGACATTGTTTTTAAAATTTATTTCTCACCACGACACAAGGTAAAGATTTCATTAAAATTGTATAAATTTACAGCTATATATTCAACAACCAGGACGAATTCCAGAAGTTATAACACAGTATAGGACTTTTAAGTGATAGATTCCTATATGACTCATACACATTGGTTCATATTACTCAAAGGGTGGTATACTATGTTAAATAGCTTGATATACACTATTTACTATTATGTAACAGTATAGTAGGATGAAGTCAAATTGTTATCTCTTCTATTTGTATTATTGTATTACAAGTTATAGTACACTATCACTTCAAATTATTACAGCAAAAAAGGACCTTCTAAGATACATAATTTGAAATCAGTAGTTTTTAATTACCCTATCAGTTAGATCACATGTTCATTGTTTACAGACAGCACAAGAAATATTGATATTGATATGATTACTGGCTTTACTATCTATGGATCATGACAAAATCACATGATAAGTGTCCACAGAATTAGCACAATTAATACAATAGCAAGACACTGATTTATTTATGTGTCCCCCAAAAAAGTCAACAACAATAAAAAGATGGGGGTGGGACCAGGCACCTGTTTTTCCAGTTTATTTGACAACCGTTTAAATATTATCAGTAGTTCACATTACTTCGGTATCATAAAATATGCATGTAGGACCTGATATATATATGACTCAACAATTGACTTCGGATATTTTACACAAATTTTCTCAAATAATCATTTCTTACGAGAGAAAGTATGACTTTTCAGAACGAGGCACTGACACTGTTTTTATGTCACAAATAATCTAGACGGTCTGGGGTGAAGGGAAAAAGCTCGTATTTTCAATATGCGCTGGTTAAAATTTTAAAAGACTACTGATACGTTGTCAGGGATATCCACTGTAAAGATCTGTCCATGCATTTCACCAGAAAATATCAGCATATTTCCATATAACAGCTTTTTTCGGGACTCTGTCACTCCGTAAAAATTCTTACAAATGTATGCGCAGATTGATGCGCAATAATAAACTGGAGGAAGTGACGTCAATGACCCAGGTCATTAGAGGCCGTGACATAAATATGTGAAATTGTACACATTTTTGTAGTGTTGTGCAAAGTTTACGGCTATTGTTGCAAATTTGTCAATTTTGTGATCGAATTTCCACATGTATGATTCCTTTTTCTAAATAATCAGATACATATTGTGCGCTATCATTAAGCTATAGCGCATATAGATCTCTAAACATAAATAAACTTTCGGGGACAGGGCTTCACATCTCCTCACTGACCTCAGCTAAATTAAAAGAAATAAAATCCGTAGGGTAGGTCCACAACGGCAGAACTTCCGTCAATCAAAAATTTCACTTAGGCCAAAAATTACAAATCGGGAGTAAAGGTAGTAGGCCTATAGAAGGCCGAGTCGACTCCTCCAAAGAGAACTACCACAGGCTAAGGTGTTTCGAAAAACGTAAGCATGGTCTGCTTATTTTTAAGCAAATGTTTGACAAAATACTTCTCTGAGGTTATCGGCACAACATTTGGGACATACCCACAGTCGAAGTGTTAACAGATTTACTAGATATAACTTTATATAAAGTTCAAAAGAATCACAAATAAACCTTTTTGATGTGGTCTGAATGGACATCTGTTACCTTACTGCTTATCACCCTTGTTCAGGTGGCGACACTGTTCATACTTCCTTTTCCGCTGTACTATTTTGATTGAGGGTAAACAATTTTCGTGTGCATTTCTAATCCATCCAAATTTAGCCCCAAATTTACTCATCACTTCTTATAATAACATGCAATCAACATCCGTTAATCTAGCAAACGAATTAACTCCATATTTTCGTCTGAACATTTATTTTTTATAGAGAAATAAGACTTCATGGTCGCCCGGTAGTAGTGTCCAATTCTGATACATGCTTTCAAGTAAAAGTAAAATTTTACACATTGTCGCATTGTGATTTAAGTATAAACAATTACTACGGCCAATCGCAACTTTGCTTAGACCTATAGTTGACTTTCGGTTACTATTTTGCAGCTGTTACTTCAAATAAAAGGGTAATTTAGATATACCAACAAATGTGTGGTCACGTCATTAGTCAGTAGCTATGCTATTTTTTCTGTGCCTGATCATTTTTTTCTGACATATGATATGTAAATTCCAAGTATTGTACAGCACTTACTATATCCATTTAGTACTATTTGAAATTTTATAATTTTCACTACTTGCCAATCGGTTAAACGGTTGCAATGAATTTGCAATAAATAAACGTATTAAAGGTGTACACATTAATGAATTTTTGTGTGAATATGTTCTATGAAGTGCAAATTTGGTTTCAATGCATTATAAGTAAGTTCCTTAAATTTGATTTGGCAGATGCATACACATCGGTTGGTTCATACTTAACAGTAGCGTTGTCACTGTTCACAGATTTAGTTAGAACTTGTTGTGTGTTGAAATCGACCAATTACGCATAGAACTTTCATTAATGTAAACGCCTTGTTGCGTTTATCGCGAATTTAAAATCAATCTATGGGTACTGTCGGACTACAACCATGTCTATATCGCGATTTTTCGGTTGTGGGCTTATTTTCTATCGGATAGCTTTGACAGTGCAGTCAGCTAACCCCATTTACCTTTGGGTCCATTAAAATTGGATTGAGAAGTAATTTTTCCACTTGAAATTTCGCCAACTTAGAGTGTCTTTTGGCCATGGTTATTCTCTAGGATAGCCCGAATGACAAATCTCTCGTTTTCGTACAATTTTAGTAATTCTGGAGACTATTTCAGAATATTCATGGTCCAAACCAACCCCGGAAATGCTGCATCTGTCCCTTTAATATTGAATCCATTTGCTAGCTGCAGAAAAGTAGGATGTAAAACTCAATTCATTTCCATTTGCTAGCTTTTATTTGATCAAAAAGTCATCAATGGATGGATTTGTCAAAGACATGTCTGCAATTGTCATAGCAATAACCATTGAATTGAAGTTCTTTATCAAAAATATCTTTTTAAAATAGCCTTATGACTTTTGGATTTTATTTTTACAGGTGACCTCTGTATACCATCAAAATGGTTCGTAGTGCAGTTAGACCGTTACAAAAACCTAAAATTGTCAAAAAGAGGACAAAAAAATTCTATCGCCATGAATCTGACAGATACATGCGAGTAAAGGTAGGCATTATTTTGACTGGAAAACCATGGTTCTACATAAACTAGTCTATGGAATGTTAAAAACCTGTGAACTTTTTCTTAAGTTGATATCGCTTGGCAATAGGAGATCTATTTGTAGCATTGTCCAAACAACGCCCCCATTTGTCATTTCTGGAGACCATGGTAATATATTTGTCATAGTAGTTAAATTTCAGCCAATCAAAACAAATCCCTCGTTATGGCGTAAACAAAACGAAAGCAGCATGTCATTAAATGTTTTGATTAAATAGACAGTACAGAATTGAAGCCAACAGAAAATCAAACCTTACTTTGAAATATTTACTTGGAAAATGATCTTCAAACGAGCCACGCACGGAAAAGCGATCTGTTCTGTTTACATGACCTCATTTCTGTTCTACTGATCTGATTGGTCAGATATAAATAGCACTGGTCAATCTCATTTCCACACCCACCAAACGAAGTGTAGAGGGCTTAGTTTAATATGGGTTAATAAGACCATGTCAAAACCTGTATTCGGGATACAATGTATTTGTAGTAGATAACATGATTTTAAAGGGTTGAAGAAGACTGAAAATCCCCTCTGTAAAATAAAATCATTTTCCTGTGGTTGACATTTTCATCAACTTAAAGGCAATCTAAGATGCAGTAATATTTGGTCATTGATATTTTAATTCAAATGAAAATGATTTTCAAAATTCAATTCAGAATTATAAAAAATAATTGATTAATATTTGTGTTGTAGAGAAACTGGCGAAGACCTAAGGGTATTGATAACCGTGTTAGAAGAAGGTTCAAAGGTCAATATTTGATGCCCAAAATTGGTTATGGAAGTAATAAGAAAACAAGACATGTCTGTCCTGATGGGTTTAAGAAAATATTAGTTCACAATAAAAGAGTAAGTAAAAGTCTTCTTAAATTTCCCTTCTATTTTATTCTGAAACATGCATAGACAATAGACATACATTGCTCTATTTCAATCTATGTAGATATCTTATTTCCAAGACATATATTTCTAATTTCACCAACTGCATATTCATTGCACTTTTTACTTACAAATCTCCGCTCAGTGCTCAACCAACTACATCTGTGATCTTTTGTAGAAGTTTTCATCAGATTTTGATAAATTTATTGATGTAATCAGTGTTTCGGATTAATCTATAATATTATTGAACAGTGTGTTAGGGTTTATTCCCAATATTACCGCCAATCTATTACAACTTTTCCCTATCCAATTTTGCCAATTACCATCCATTTTTCATTGCATTATTTACAAAAGAATAGATCACTATCTAAATCCTGACCTAGGGAAAACCTTAGTATTAATTAGTCAGCATAGACCATAATTCAAACTTGGAACAAGCATAATTGCTGATGTGGCCTTATCTTAATCGAACAAATGTACCAAGATAAAAAAAAAAAGGGTGAATTGTAAGAGGAGCAGGGGTAATATGGAAAGGGCAAAGTGAAAGGTGGAATCAAACATGGAGAGGGGGCCATAGGGTTATAATTTGATAATCCAAGACCAAAACCAACCCCCAAAAATGGTGAATCTGTATCTTTAAAAAAAGGCCTATCTTGCTTTATAGCAAGGAAGGCAGACACTCATTTGTCAGAAACAAATTATTGTATTTTGTGACGCGAAAATATCCTTTGTTGTTTTTTTTTTCAGGAATTAGAGATTTTAATGATGCAAAATGGTACCTTTTCAGCTGAAATTGCACATGGTGTATCAAGTAAAAAACGAAAAACTATAGTTGAAAGAGCCCAACAATTGGCTATTAAAGTAACCAATCCAAATGCTCGTCTCCGATCCCAAGAAGATGAATAAACAAATTACTAAAACTTGTTCTTTTTATAGTCCATATTAAAATTGGCACATGTTTATTTAACTTAGGAATTGTAAAGAGGTTTTCTAATTTTTTTTATGTTTGTTGTGGACACTGACAGCATCAATTTGCACCCTTCCAATTCAGTCAGATGTCAGAAGTTCCTTATATGATAAAGCAGATAATATCAATCACATGTTCAAGTGAAATTGCAGGACCCACAGACATCTGACTGAAAATTGTAATGCCTTTAATCGATGTCCCCGCACACATATTTCTTTTTAGAAATCCCTTTTACATTCATGTCTTGTGGAATTTTCAACCAATTTTAATGATACCGAGTCGCCAGTGTCCATCCACAAATGCTCGTGCTCACTCTAGACGGCAAAATTTTGACGAAACTGAGCGTAGTGTTTGTAATCGCCCAATTGAACCTTTTTGAAAATCAGAAAAATAAGAGTTATTGCCCCTTTCCTTGAAAAGCGCGTTAACTTTTTTTAGACACGATCAGTACTTCAGGAAGCTGGGGGGATCACTGTTAACGCTGAATTCAAATTGTAATAATTCTTTCAGAGAACGCCTGAGATTGTTATCCTTTGATGATTTTCGTAAAAGTGAATTGATTTTGTGCATCCTGACACATATGGGGTAAAAAAAATTGTTTAAAATAAATTGGTCAATGTGCTGTCTGTGGTTGGACAAACGTCTTAGCTCGTGTGAGCATTTAGCACCGTAGCGGGTGTCTTCACAAATTAATAGAGATGATCTACGCCTGAAGACCCAAGAACACCAAGCACAAGGTTTAAGGTGAAGGGCCTAGACATCTCCATTTTATGTATAAAACCATGCCCTGTGTTCTTTAAATAAACTATAAAATTGAAATTTTACAAAAATATATACATGTAACAAATTTGATCGAACTTAATCCATCTAAAATACATTGCCTGAACACGACAATAACGGTTGGACGAATCATACCCGTTAAATGTTCATTATGAAAAAAAGTGAAAAGCATGTGAGTTTGATGCTTGCTCGCTAACCTGAAGGTCCAGGGTTCAATCCCGGCATAGGTCGAGATAATACCTTCGGATTTTTCAACCCGGTTTCCCCCTGTCAGTGATGCAGGTAAGAGGGGCTGACGTGGAAAAAACGTATAGTCGTTCGGATGGGACAATAAACTGAGACCCTGTGTACTACAGACTGTGCACGTTAAAGATCCCTCGACAGTTGGAAATCGAAAAAGAGCAGGCTAATGCCGCTGTCCTGGCAAAATTTCCCTCATTGCACCCTGCATGGCGTTACCCGTCTTCATTAGCCCACATGGTGCAGGACGTAAAACTCCATTCATTTCATTTCATTTTACACGAAATCAAAGAGAAATGTAGACCACTAGCTGAACGTGGGGTGTTGGTTGAAAGAGATATTTCAAGTAGATTAGATATTCTTGTCACGCCAATTATACAAGAAGCAAAGCTGGTGAACAGAAATAGAAAATATAGTTATAATGGCTTTAGGTGTGGAGGTTTATGTACGATGTTATATGGTTGTCCAGAAGTGACAAACTGGTCAGTTTTAGAAGGCGATGTTGACATGAAAGCAAATAAAGATCAATATTTTGCTGTCCAGTTTAAATACAGCGATGATCCACGAGGCTTAGTCAATATGATAGAAGAATGGAATGTCAAATGGAGTGGTCGCACTCCAGATCCAAACTTGCCAGAGCCACTTCTTCGTGAAAATGTAGTCTTGATAGGTCCAAATGATGTTGGTGAAGTTACTAATGGTAATCTGGGTGAAAGAATTGTTCACCAATTTGAGCAACATGAGCAAGTAAGATGCACACCTGATGATGTCAGTAAAATGAAACAATTTCTTGAACATAAACGTGCTAAAGAAGAGGTGAAAAGAAATAGAACGATCAGGAAATAGCAGGAAATAATCTACAAACAACTGAAGAAAATTTGAGAACCAAGATAAAAGAGTATGGCAAATAATATTCGATAAAGCTGCCTTGAAAGACGCTGCGCTCAATGTTTAAGTAGGCGCCACAATAGATGGTATTACAGCATTGATATGCACTGCAGGCGATGAGTACACTAGATACAAAAATGGTGAAATTACCATCAAACAGTTCACTTGGAAAGTCATCAAATCTACTACCATAACAACAGCAAAAGGTGTAAAATTTGGACTTGGATTAAGCAGTTTTAATCTGGCTGCCCAATATGTAGTAGCTAATGGATTTGCTTACGCTGGTCCTGGTGCAACTGTGGTTAAAGCCGCTGGTCCTGTAGTGATGGTTGGGATATTTCTGAAGCAGTCTTATGATGTCGTATCAGCTTGGAAAAATGGAGACTTGACAACCACTGGTATGAAAAAGGCATTTGCGAGGACTGCCACTTCAGGAGGGTTAAGTATCGGAGGTATAGGCTACAGAAGCTGCCGGATCGTTGATGGGAGGTCCAGCAGGTCTATTTGTTGGAGTTGGATTAGCCATCGCTATTGGTGTTGGAGATCATTTCCGTGGAGATAAATTATGGAGTTTGTGTTTTAAGGAAGACGAAGAAGAACAGGCTGCTTTGATTATTAAAAAGATCAAAGAAAATTAGGACAGAAGTTATTTCGTCAGCTTATTCCTTATTTGGACTCACGGAGTATGAAACTCTTGCAAAAGTAAAAGAATCTTATACAGTTGCCATACTGAAATATCATCCAGATAAAGGTGGTGATTCTGAAATATTCAATGCTGTACAGATGGCTTATTGCTTAATTTGCTCGATTAAGGACGATTCGGTCTAGGCTATTCCAAGTTAAAGCTTTTTGAAAAAATATTTTTTTGTCGAACACTTTTCTATCATTTTAAGTATAAGCCTAGCCTACTAATGAATGCTTTCAACAATATATCAGACTGTGCTTAGCTAACCCTGATTTACTTCGACTACACTTTAACCCTTTTGGAGCCATTCGCGGACAGTGTAGGCTACAAATCTTTGGACATAGGCTATGCTAGAACCCACCTACCACGAAACCTAATTGACTAAGAGTTTAGCCTTGAGTTAGGCTAAAACTAGGTTTAGTGTTAAAACTAGTTAATACTCTATCTTTCAAGTAAAAGTTGCCTTAGTAAAAATATCATCTATCTAATCTCCTGCACGAGGTGTAACGAATAGTACGTTGGAGAGACGAAGAATTCGTTAAGAGTTCGTTTTAAAATTTGTGGTGAGGATAAGGCGTTGGTTCTTAACATGACGTCATTTGCTTGGTTACGTCGAGCATATGGTGGCTGTGGGTTCAATTCTCGATCGGGGTGTGATAGTGCGATGGCCTTGAATAAGTCATCTTCACTCATCATTCCAATCGACCCAGCTGTAAATGTTTACGGATAATCTGGGAAAGATCAATGCCAGGAGGTTTGGCCAAGGAACAGCTGGTAGAAAGGATCCTTAACTTAGGCTATCCTTGTAAAATATAGTTGTTTCTTTCTTTTCTTTCTTTCTTTAGGGCCTAATCACCACAAATCTGACACCAATCTGCAAAAAATAAAAAAATAAAATAAAAAAATGGTATTGTAACACATCAATTCAATCATCAAACCACAAACAATATCATCAACAGCCATAAACACCAACAATAACATACAACATCATCCACTATCGCACACATTACCAGTCACAATCATTAACAGCAACCAACACCATAATCAACAGTTACAAAAAACACCAACAGTCACAATATTAACTGTCACCAACACTATTATCAACTTCCAAAAACACTAACAACCACAAACAATATCATCAACAGCCATAAATACAAACATACAACATCATCCACTGTCGCGAACATTACCAGTCACAATCATTAACAGCAACCAACACCATAATCAACAGTTACAAAAAACACCAAAAGTCACAATATTAACAGTCACCAACACTATTATAAACATCCAAAAACACTAACAACCACAAACAATGTCATCAACAGCCATAAATACAAACAATAACA